TTCGCGGATTTCGGTTTCAATAGCCAGCTATTTTGGTATTAACTCACCTTGGCGTTGCCCATTTGTACCTTCCAAATTTTTGTGGACAAAACGAATTCCATGTGCTTGATGCGCCAGAGTGGCTTGAATAGCGCCTTGTATGTGGGCATAGCTGGTTCCAGCATGGTGGCCAACGGTCCACGGACCGTGTATTGCAATGAGATGACATCCCAGCCGCAGTCACCGGCATATGGCGTCTTAACCACCACATCCAAATGATTAAGTATATCTGGATCATCATACTGGGCATTTGTGCAGCGCAGGGCGGCATCAAGCATTGCGGATAGATCGTGTGAGTAAATGTCGGTGCCAATTTTCTCCAGCTCATCCCTGCGGAAGCCACAAAACAAGCAAACAAACTGAAAAGCAGGTCATATTTTGAATTAGTTCTTGAACGCACTTCATGTTCTCGATGAAAATGCTGACAAAGTCGCCTTGGCCAAGCAATAGATAGCGACGCATTCCCTGCAGATGATCCAACAGCTTGTGTGGTCCAACCATAATGTCCAGCACATGCTTGGAAGTTTGCGAATAGCAGGTCTCAATGGCCGCATGCCACGTTGTGTCTGGCACGTACGAAAAGATGTGGGAAACTGAACAAAAGTGAATGGATACAATGAATTATTAATATATATATATAGATATATATGCATATGTATCGATGTCGGCTTACCATGATTGTCAATAACGTACTTAAGCTCTTTACGGCCCTTTACCGCTTCCTCCATTTTGCATATCTCACGCAAAAAGTTAATGCTCTTGCCGGTTTTAAGTATCTTGTCGGCCAGTTCAAGTGTGATAAATTTGGGTAGCATGCTGTGCCGCAGCCGAAACTTATCATGCCAGAGCCGATCAGCGCCGACCTCGTCAAGGGATTCAACAAAGAATTCGCCGTGGCTATCCTCGATGCCGCCCTCGAGCATCCATTTTGAGATCATGCGTACCAATGGTCCACAGCTCACGGTCAACAGGTCATTGGCCAGTTTATTGATCATGGGATCACCATTGTTTAGAAATGTGTATAGCACGGAGGCCAGGTCACCGCCCTTCTTTAGCTGGCAGGCATCGGCGATTTTCGTCAGCCATTGCATGCGCCGCAGTGGCTCCATGTACCAGCAGAGGAGCTTCATTAGCGTCAGCTGCTCGCGTTGCCTGTCCAACCAGCTCTGATCGCGATCGACAAAGTCTCGCATCTGCGTCTGACGAAATGCGTTAAGCTGATCCTGCAGCAGTGCCACCTGCCCATGAAATTCGCTCATCTCCAGTTTCAGCTTCGCCATGAATGCCTGGCCCATACTGCCCATGGCATTGTAGCCCGTCATTGTATTCGAAAATTTGGACACCCGATCATGATAATAGCCCAGCTCGGACAGCCGCAATAGCATACCACACTGCACTGGTGAGATGGTCTTCATGGTGAGCGGATCGAGCTTAAAGCGTCCCGTAATAACATCCTTCTTAAGATACTTGCCCTGTACGCCCATAAACGAATATATCGCATTTTGCACAACATCATGATCGGTGTTGACGTTATTTTGCTTTGTTGTATCCAGGATGTAGTTGGGCAAAGGTAGATTGCCTAGGCCCACGCTCGTCTGTGTTGGATCGTAGCTGCAGGGCTTTACTGACATACCGTTCTTATTGCCATTCAAGCCAATGCCATTAGATTGGAGGATGCTGCTGCACGAGCTCCTGTTTGTGCTGTCCACTTTGGTTGACGATCTGGAACGACGACTAGGTGGCTGTCCAATTTCGTTCAAGGGAACGTACTGTGCATCAGTTTCCAGGCTAAACAATATAAGATTCGATAGAAGGTCCCGCATACGCTGATCTTCAATCTGCAACAGCATGATTAAGAGTATTTGGTGCGTCATCCAATTACAGTCACACCACACTCACCTCACAGGAGGCAACAACGTAATGCTCGTGGAACACCGAACCAGGCTTATCTTCCTCACCCCACATCGGGTTTGACTCCAATATAGTCATAATCTTGTCTAGGCAATCATCCTCGGTCAGTGGCGGTGGACTGTCAAATATATCGGGGCACTTGTTAATATACTGCACCGCCAGCGGCACCATTCGATCTGGAAAGTGCAAATGCATATTAGAAAGCAGAGCAAGTGTAAGAGCTGCGTAATTTACCTAATAATTCCTGCGAGTCCTTGGGGTGTACGCCCTCCCTGAGTTTCGATATAAGGCTTTTAAATTCATATCCAATATTTTTGCTACTTGTGTTGTTATTCGAGTTAGGCATCTTTACTTCAGTTGTTGTTTTGCTAAAGTACGGCGTTTGTCAATTTGCAGTGCACAATATAAATCGTTCGCCAAATTTATGGAAGGCGCGCGCGTTTGTGTTTGTGCCAAAAATGGCGGTGGGACAAAAAACAACAACTGCTGGACGAATGAACGGATAACACAGCTGCAGAGACTTCACTTGTGCTCTCCCTTTGCGTGCCGCAATTCACATGCTAAAAATGGCAACTCAGAAACAAAACTAAAACGGTAAAACGCCTAACTGTATACTATTTGTTAATAATAATAAAGGCAAAGAGCTCGTTTGAATTTGTTTGCTGCCAAACAATTAAGAAAAAACGAGGGATGCTAGCTGGTTCTGAACTGAACTGTATGCAGTGGTTCCCAAAGTTTTGGTTCAATTCTATTGCAAAATCATTTGAGTCTTTTCCCGGCAATCTGCTGTCAATTTTGGTTCATAATGAGAAAAACCAAAGGGAGCCGAACGCATGCTAAACTAGCCTACTTGGGTTTAAACGTTAACGTCAAACATTACAAGTTGCAGTGACTGCTACACGGAAACATTTAAAATAAATGAATTAGTATTTAAACGATATTCAACCAGCAGTCGTGATTTACGTACGATGAATCGACCATCGCTTAAGAATGTTGAACGAATAATTTATAACGTTTGCTCTGCTTTTAAAAACTATTATCGGCATAAGATAATTGCCACTTCTGTATTTATTGTACAGAAGATTCATTTTAATTTCTCTATTGATAACTGTTAATTTCGTTGAAGGCTTTTGATAGGTTGGCAGAGCCGCGACTTGTTTGTCATATTCGTGACAAGTAACTGGTACGTATATATCGCACAGCTCTAAGCTCAACAAGCACAATAAATTTAAATGGCATCTTTAAGCAACCTAAAACAAATACCTACATTGTCCTCACCAACGGGCGTGGGGCATCGCCAAAACTATATACCAGAATTGGAGCAATATCCAACAATTAATCTAAAGAACGAGCTACTCAATCCATCAGCTCACCGCTTTTCTGTGGGCCACAGCTTCATACCGGTCGAGAGCGAAAGCGTGCCGAAGCGCATTTCGCGCACATTCTTCGATGGCGGCTTTTGGGAATCGCTGGCGGAGGCGCGTAGCGAAAAAACGCGCGAACAAGCGCCTCTTATAAGCAAAACAGCCGATTACATTGCGCATCTGCTGGACCTCTATAGCAGATTTAAATTAAAGGTATTTCCTCACACACAGCAGCTGAGCGCTGAGCGCATTGCTCAATATGCTGAGACCAGGTGCGATCTCTGTTCTCTATGTAGTATATCTATACGTGATACTATAAGACTTGCCCTTATACATTTTTCAGAGATTGGGTGAACAGCTCTGTTCGCTATATCGCCTGGCACGTGCATCTCTTTAAACTGGCCGTGGCCGGCGTGGACGACGTGGTGCGTGTTTACAGTAAGATTACAGATAATAATGCCGGTATGGGCCCCGTGCTGAAAAGCCCAACACAAACCCAAATAACATGCATGGCCTGGCGGCCGCTGTGTGCCTTTGAGCTTGTCGTTGGCTGCCGTCAGGGCTTGTGCTTTTGGATAATTGACAACAATCTCCATCTGGGTCGCACCATCAATCCCAGTCACACATTAAAACAGTGCGTAAATCTCCAGCTGAAGCGTGCCATTACTCAGCTTATTCATTTGTGTTTTCAGTCCGGACAATCTACCCATCAGCTCGCTGCAGTGGAACAAGGATGGCACCTTGCTGGCCACCGCCTCCATTGGTGATCGCGCCATACTCATTTGGCATCCTGACAGTAAAAGGTTGAAGCCGCTGAAACGTCTGGGTCCACCAGGCTCTCTGCTCAGCTGGTCACCGTGCAATGAATGGATCTTTGCGGCAACTGTGGATCGGGTGTTTCGCGTGTGGAAATGTCACGATCGCTGGACCTCAGACCGCTGGGTATGCGATGGTGGCAACGTTCAAGCCGCCTGCTGGTCTCCCTACGGTCGCTTTCTGCTATTTGCGAGCACTGCTGAGCCAATTTTGTATCGTCTTCAATTTGTTCAGCTGCTTCTCCAGTCATGTAAGTGCTCCGGCCGGACTTGAATCACTTACCCAATGCGGGCACTGCTGGTACAGTGCGTGTCTGGCGAGTTAATGCAAGCACACGCCTCGCAGCTTGCCCAAGAGCAAACCCAAAACTAGTTAGGTTGGCATGCAACAGGTAGACGACTGCTTAAGCATCCAGATCGTCTGTATAATGCTGCCTACATGCTTTGTCATATTCAAAGCGCGTTGTGTCTTTTAATGTTTTATAAACTGATTCCCATTTGCCTTGCTACAGCGAAATCCGATGATAAGGAAGTGCTGCCCGTTGCCGACCTAAATGCTTGCACCTTGGATAGCAGCAAGCATACGCTCATTGGAGGCACTGTCCAGCAATTGGTATGGGATCCGCAGGGCAAATATCTGGTGATCACCTTCAAGTCAACCAATTCCATTGCCATTTTCCGCACATACATACAGAAGTACGATTTGCAAATTTCGGGCGGTTACTACTTAAATGGCCAAACGACGGCCGAGTATCCCAGCTTTGTTTGCTTCCAGCCATTGAACAAGGACAACGATCGCTCGGTGCTGACCATTGGCTGGTCAAGTGGTCGCATTCAGTTCTATGCTTTACATTAAACGATTCTATGTGAATAGGATTTATTTATTTTTATGTATTTGGTTTTTATAAGCGTTAATAAAGGTACACAAATAACATGTTGGAATTAAAATAACAGCTCGCTGACAGAGGAGCATTTGATCTTGTGCTAAGAGTTAGACTTAGATGCTAAAAAAGTTTTGGTTACTGGAAAGTACAAATAATTGACACAAAGCTGAAGCTCGTGCACAAATTAAGATCTATTGAGAAACAAGTCCAAGGTATTGTCTTCGGCTATGTTATGGTCGTGCACAAGACCAAATGTGTCGCGTTTTCAAATATACTGGGATAACAATCATACCTTATATAAATATATATATATTATATACAAGAAATATGCCAAACAGAATAATAACGATTTCCATACATGTAATATACGCATATATATATACATATATGCTTACACACATACGAATAACAGAACAAACAGTTAAACGATTATCAAACATAATAAGGATACATGAAGGTTAGACGTCCATGCTAAGCGCATGCGGGATCACACTTGGAGAAATACTAAATTTAATGTGTATCATAAAATACGACTGCTGGTGTGTGTTTATACTAAGTTAAGATCAGATTTGCGTTTATATTGGTCCCAGTGCATGTAGCCTGAAGGCGCACTAGATGCTCCCATTTTAGATGTCTCCAAAGAAATAGCCCAGCGCCTGGGCAGCACGCACGCGCACCGTCACATGCTCATCCTTGAGCAACACTGCAATCTTGCCGGCTACAGACTCGGTTTGTGCATTCCGCTCGCTAAGGAAATTGTGCAGTATGCCTAAGGGTAAATATGTTTATAGATTTCGCTCATTGTAATCAACATTGGGATGGACACCTACCGATAACAATGGCCGCACTGCCGCGCACTTCTGGCCACTGGCTACGCAGCTTGGGCATGCACGAGTCTATAAAGTCCTGGATGTGTTCGGTCAGTTCCAGTGCCTGTTAATGGTTGAAAGTTAAATGGTTTATAGCATCGCAATTATCCTCTCATACTTACGATCACTTTGACAAAATCTACGATAAAGTTGCTGTAGTTAAGTGGACGCTGCTGATCCGCGTCGCTCACGAGCTGCTGCTGGGCAATCTCATTGACGCGTACAGCGCGCAGCAGGCGGCAGACACGTCTTAGGGTGCCTTTGCAAGCGGAGGCAATGGCCGGCTCGCTCTCGCTCAGGTGGAGCAGCAGCGGAAATAGATTGGCAAAGAGCTGTTCGCGTAGTGCCTCCATCGATGACGTTGGCGAACTGCTGCCGTCATCATGTTTTGATTCGCACAAATCCCCAAATAGAATAATTGCCGCCTCGCGCATTTCCATCGAATAGCTGCCAAAGAAGGGACGTATGCGTATGGCCAGCGAGACATGAAAGGGCTCGACTCGATCACTGGGCAATGCCTGTAAAATGCGTGAGAGTCCGCGCATGCTCTCCAGCGGTACATTGATTAGACATTCGCCAACCGTATCGTCGACACCCTTGAGCAGAGCCTGTATTGCCATCTCCGAATAGCGCGGTGACTCGTGCTCGCCCAGCTGGCCCACATAGCCCATGCCCTGCAGACTGAGGCCGCGCACAACCGCATTGGGATCGCTTAGAGCTGCACCCAGATGTAGCATTAGGCAGCTGGCCAGTTCGCCGCACGGCTTGAGCGGCACAAGGCGCGAATATAGGCCAACGGCTGCAACGCGCTGGCCATCATGGGGCGAGGCCACGTACTTGCTTAAAGCATTTACCAGCTGACGCATGCCTGGGCTGGTTAGCTGCAGCTGATTGGCCAGGCCAATGGCCATCGGGGTCAATAGCTCAATGTAACTGTGCCAGTCCGTGCTGGCAGCCAGTTGGGTATTAACCGTCAGCACGGTGGCAATTTGCTCCATCTCCAAATTGTTGAGGAATGCCTGAAATGTTTCGAGTGCTATTTGGCAGGGATTCAGTTTGATTAGCTCCTTGTTGGGCACAAATCCAAACTTGCTGGATGACTTATTCGGCTGGCTGGGACTTGCCGGCGGGGCTGCTGGCATGGGTGCGGCCAGATTCGTATAGCTGGACAGTGAAGTCAACAGCATGCTGAACATCTCTGCAAATCTCGCCTTCAATTGCTGCAATCAAAACCACAAGCAATTAATTCACAAATCTTGGAAGCTTGCCCACAGGCTACTCACATCATGTATGTCCTTGCAGGGCAGCATCTCGTGCAGCGCACAAAATATGGCAAACGGCTGAACGCTTGCCAATCTTTGGCGATCGTGTGGCATGCTACTCGCATCCTGCGGTTCGTGCAGGCAGGCGCCGCTGAGCAGCTGCAAAAAGTTGTCCAGCATAAGGCCGGTGAGCTCCGTATCATTGCAGACCAGATGCCAATACTCAACCAGATGCTCATCGTAGGGCAGCGGCTGTTGCAGCATCTCCGCGCAGACGAGCTTCGGATGGTGCTTGGTCAAAGCCACCAGGGCCTTAAGTACGCCTGACTTGGCACGCGGCACATCGCACAGTTGCAGCGCCACCAGACTGTCCTTGACCAGATCGGGTACGGCATGGAATAGCTCTGAGCCCTTCTGCTGTATGAAGAACTTTAGGACAACACTAGCGCCAATGGTGGAGCTCTGTTCCGGATCGCGCAGGGACTGCAACAGAGTTTTACTTGAAAAAAAGAAGAAAATAATTGAAATAAGAGTACCCAAACTATATACTTTTTTGTTGCAAAAAGTTAAAGATTTATATATATATATATATTTACATCTATATCAAAGTTTTACTAACAATTTTGGGTGTCGGACTTAGAAGCGAGAAGTCTCTGGTTTGTCTTAGGACTTTGAATAATAATTCCTTGTTCTGATCAAGTTGGTCTCTGAGCTAGCTGTCATCGGACACAGCAAGCCTGCACAGACTAGAATAAAGTCCTCAAAGACTTTCACAAAATGAGCGGAATATTCAAAATCTTCGGCACTTTCTATCAACTGGTAAGAATCAAAAGTGATAAAATAGGAATACCCAACGGATCCAGACGAAGAGGACCATAACAAACTATATATTATTTAGGCTGCCTTAGCTGCAAATAAAATCTTATTCGGGGCCTTGGACGATGAGCCATCTGCTGAAGAGGATGAAAGCCAGGAAGAGTCCACCGATGATGCGGATGAGTTGTACGACGATCCGATCAATATAAGCTCGAGTCCGAATAAGGAAAGGGAAGTTCACTGCGTCTGTGAGGAGGTTAATGGTCGTTTACATAAGCTCTACGATCTGCGGGATTACGTATTTGATCCTCAAGACGATATGCAGCAGGCCATGCGTCGCGAAGCAGCTCGTCAAAGGGCGCAAGCTGGATACTCCCAGCCCCTAAGCCTGACGCGTAGCATCCGGCGCACGGTAGAGCAACATTTGCAATTTGTTTCTGAAGATTACTTATAAATAGTTCATTTACATTATTCCTTCATATATTCCAAAAGTCACTAATCGATTGATGTCAATGATTTGTTTCGTTTCCAAATTTGTATTTTGATAGCTCACACGGGTTTGTGAGAGACACAAATAGAAGATTCCATTAGCTGGAAAGAGATAGCGTTGCATCGTCGCATCTTCCCTTCAATTTATATTATTACAACGAAATCCGACCCAAATTATAAGCATTTATATAAAATATATAAATATATCGGTCAGCAGCCTTTCGTTCTCAGACTAAAATAGAAGTTTAAGTTTTTTATTAGCATCCACAAATCGTTTGGAAACCCATAAATTGGTCTTTTTTTTAGGAATCTCCATGCTTGCCCCAACGTTAATATGACAGCTGTACTTGCAGCTAAAGAAGCATCCTGTGCTTAGTTTCGAACAGGGATTGATTTGCAGATAGATACCCAGTCGAATGGGTAGACGTGCGATGCCTTATCGAGACTGCGATCTTTGAATTTGCTTAACAGATTTTTTCAATTACGAATACTTTGAGCAAGGCTAGAACACATAATATGAACGACCAGTCGGGTCGTCTGCTCTCTGTGTGAGGCTGAACCAGCCGGAAGAGTTTTATCTTGATCCTTAGAGGAATTCATCAATAGTCTGCCTAAAATTGTTGAAGGTAGGCCGATATAGCCTAGGACATTGACCAAAAATATATACGCGTTTGCCATTTGAGAACAGAATGATTGCACTACAGACAACGTCTAGTTGCGCTATTATTATTATGATCGAGTACGTCCCGAGCTAGTTGCCATGCGGCACAACATTTTAGCACAGCTGAAAATATAGTCCTCAGTCGAGATTTGATTTCATAGCAGTAACATCAAACACTAGCATAAAATGAGCGGAATATTTAACATTTTTGGCACTGTTTATCAATTGGTAAGAATTATTGAATGGTGGAGAGTAAAATAAAAGTTAAATGGAAAATGTCAAGGATCCTTTAGGCTGCCTCAGCTGCGAACATAATCTTCTTCAAGCGCTTAAGCGATGAGCCATCAGTTCAAGATGACCAAAACCAGGAAGTGAACACTGATAATACGGATGAGGAGATGTCGGATGAACAAATTGAATTGCCTAACTATAAGCCGGTGAGGGAGTTGCGCCGCAGCGCACGTCTAAGGGAGAAGAAGCGGGAAATTCATTGCGTCTGTGCCGAAGTTGATGGTCAATTTCACAAGCTCTACGAACTGCCCTACTATGTCGTAAGTCCTTCGGCCGATATGAAGCAGGCCAAGCGCCGGGAAGCAGCTCGTCAAAAGATGAGGAATAGGAACCCAGACCCAGAAGCTTGACTCAAAGTAAATGGCTTACGAAAGAGAGAGAGAGAGACACACACACGCGCATACGACCTTTGTTTTTTAGATAAGTTATAAGTAGTTGAATTTATTTATTGTTGCCACATGCATTCAAAATTCTCTATTCGAGTTAATGCTTGATTCAAAATTCTGCTTTGATACTTATGTACGAATTTTCGAGAAACAAATCAAATTAAGGGGAGGTAAGCAATTCCAGCGTTTGCCAGGGAAACTACAAGAGCTGGAGTCTGATATCAGAATTAAACATAAAAGGTTAATCCATAAACTGTTGTGGTTGAGTTATTTATGTCGTAAGGCTAAGCTAGAACCTGGCTTTTGTTTGGTTTTTTAATTCTAAATATCAAACATGCCATTTGAATAATCTATTCATGAGCTTGCAAATGCTCGTAAAATGCTGCTATTATCCTTCAATTCAATTTTAACAATTTGACTACGATTCAATGAAATGGAGAGGCTAGAGCTAATAGATAATGAGCGAAAAGTTGATCAAAAGCTGATGTGACAAGATATTAAAAATCATACTAACCAGAATTGCAGATACTGGAAACTGGAAATGCGTTGCGCTATAATCTTAGCAATATCGCCAGCCAGATTATAGATTTGCTTGGGCTCATCCGTGATGATGTGCTCCTTGATGGATTCAATCTCCTTTAGCCATTCGGCGCTGCTGTCAATACTCGCTATGGTCAGTGTCTCATAGATGCAGGCGATTTCCAGCGTCTTTTGCAGTATGTCCACTGATACCTGGCGCACGGTGCCATTGGAGTCGATGCAACGGGGCACAATTTTGCCTAGCATTTGGCCAGTCTGATTGAACTTGGAGGGCGCCTCACAGCCGCCAATTTTCATGGACTTAATGTATACCTCAAGTGTGTTATTTAGCACATGGCTGGCGCAGATGCGCACCTCTGAGTTCTTGTCCCGCATCCAGCACTCCAGTATGCCAATGATCAGATCCAGCGTTGAGGGTGACGGATCCAGTTCAACAATGGCGCGAACCAGTGCATTAAGCTGTGGCAGCGATTCGTTCAGATGCTTGGCAAGAAAGCTGTTGTGCTCATCCTCCTCCTGCGAATCAAATTTCATTTTCAACTGCCTGGCGCAGCCGAAAAAGTTTTTGCAAGCTATTTCAAAGATGATACTGCCGTCCACGCACTCAGAGCTATCGCTGCCGCCTGCCAAAAATATAGCAACAAAGTTATTAATGGATTAAATACTTTATCCGTTTAGGTCTGTGCACACTCACCGATGCGTATGAAATCTGTGCCCAGCTTCAAAATGGTGGGCAGCAATGGCAGGTCATGGAAGGGCGATTCAATGGGTATACTGAAGACAGTTTCCATGATTTGCTTGCGATGCTTGAGCGGAGCTGGCAGTTGTTCTTTGGTGACAATTAGCTGATTACAAATACTAAGCAGCGTTTGTAGTATGGCCGACATAATGGTCTGATCCTTGTGACCGGCCAGTTGTATCATTAAGAAGTTGAGCATGGTATCATCTAGATGCTGCAGCGATTGCAACGGATCTGCCTCGTCCATGATGCGGCCAAAGGCTTTCACCACCAGCAAATTGCTCTTGTAGTTCTCTAGCTCCTTGTGCGTGTCCTTTATAAAGTGCAGATTGCTAAAGAAACCCGTTGAATGTTTGCGTCCGCCCATTTGCGCCAGTTCCGATAGCTTCTTGATCACATGCGCCAAGTGTTGTCGGGCTATATAGCCGAGTGCCCGAGCGCATGGCTCGATGCGTCGCTCGTATTCCGCATGCTTGATGTGCTTATCGAGACGCTCCTGTCGCGCCGTTGTTACAATCAAATCTATCTTGGTATGGATGCAGGCGACATCCGTCACCTGACAGAGTGTCAGCGCCACAGACTGCAGCAGCATGCCCCGCTCGGCGCTCAGATCCGGCAGCTGCCACTCTGAGTGCGGCAACTGCATGGGATACAAATACATTTGATCGCCCAGCTTGATGGCCAAGCGCTGCGGAAACTGCTCATCGCGTGCGCCCAAAAACTCGTTGGTCTCCAGCAGGAAGTCTTGCAGCTGCTGCAGATATGCCTGCGGCTTGTTGATGTGCAGCAGCATGTCGGAGATACGGCGGTTCCAGAGCTCCTCCAGTGCTGGATTTAGCTGCGGATGATAGTACTTAAGGAAGCTGAGTATGTTCGATGCACGTTTGATGCACTGCTGATTGCCCAGCAGAGCCAAGCAGCGTGCATAGATGCTTTCGGCGCTGGGCACAATCACTTTGCCGCGCTTCACCACGCCTCCGCGATCCTCAGCAGCTGGCGCCGCTGCTTCGCCACCTGCTACCGCTGGCGACGATTGTTGGTCCTCATCGTCGGCTATGTCGTACTCAATGTGCGGCGATTTGGCAAACAAGCTGGCTAAGCACTTGGCCAGATTGCCGCAAATGTCTGTGTAGTCCAATAGCAGAAAATAGTTGAGCAACTCGCGTTTGAGCAGCTCGTCAAGTGTACCCACCGTGGAGGCGAGCATGAATAGCGTATTCTCGCAACTTAGCACCAGGGTGGCATGCTCCTCCAGGGTGCCATGCTCCTGGCTAATTTTGCTGTATTTGCAGCTGTGACGCACCACAAACCACACAAACTCTTTGTCCCGGATAAGCGATTTCTGCGCGAGCGCCACAATGGTCTTGAGCAGCGTTAGTTTCATCTTGACGCTGCGCTCGGCCAATATCAGCTGCTTGAGGCACTCGATGAGCGCCTGCAGGCGGCTTTCAATGTGCACCGCACAGCTGTTCAGCAGGTGCGTCAATATAAGCAGCGATTTGATGCGCTCCCGTTCGCTGTTGTTACGCAGATGGATGAGCAGCGTATCCATGATCTTCGCTGCGTAGTTGCCTGCCAACAGATGAAAGCAGCGCAGCACCTCGTAGTGGCCCTTGACCGTCTGTGGCTTTTCATAGTCCGGATAAACGCAGACTAAATCGAAGAGGTGCGTTATCAGCCCGTCGACTACTCCATCCAGGACGTGAGCGTGCATCAAGAGATTCGTTTTCAGCACTGAACACAAAAATTGTGTGACTGCATTGCGATCGACGCTGCGCCGATAGAGCGTCAGAATTTGCGGCACCAGCCGCGGCGCTTGGTCCAATATCCGATCGCTTGGCAACAACGGATACATGCTGGACAGTGCCTGCAGTATCTCCATGCATACCTTAGGCTCACGCGAGTGCAGCCACTGATTGAAGAGCACGTCGTAGGCAACGCTGATTTCCGTGGCGCAATTGGCGGCCGCCTTGGCTTCGCCTGTGGGCGTGTTGGTGCCGTGTTCCATAAGCGCCTCACTAAAGCGTCCGATTGCATAGGCATATGCCAGCTTGACGTGATCCTGCTTAATGCCGCCCAAATGTGGCAAACAACGCGCCAATATTGTCTTGATGTGCGGCACCAGCCCAGCCGTATTGGCCATGGCCAGCTGGCCGAGGCACTGCATCAGCATAAAATGCGGCACAGTGCTCGAGGGGCCACTGTGCGCTTGCAGTGCCTCAACCACCAGGTTGCAGTCATCGCCCCGACCAATGCACACGAGTATATGCAATGAGGGATTCTGTATTAACGGCACATGCTGATCCACGCTGCGTGTCAGTTCCTCTAAGGCCAGGGCAATCAGTTTTTCATTAGCTGCCGTTGGCAACGGGGTGTCCGCGGCAACCACCCGATGAATGCAACTGAAACATCAACAATGAAATAAACAGCACTGGAAAATATCGGTAAGCACTTACTCCAATATCATGGACACAGTTTGTTCGCTAAGCTTAGCGTTTTTGGCGCGATAATCAGTCAGTATGAGCGTGGCACGCAATGGATGCGTCTCCAGAATCTTCACTATCGCCTGCTGCATGGCCTGACGCACTTGCTCATCTTTGTCAGTCAGACCATCAAATATGTTGGACATCACGCCTGTGGAATGCACAAACACACTAACTTAACGGGGGCGTTTCTCAATAGGTTTGCAGCTTGAGTTCACGCCGAAGTCGGTTCAAATAAATCAAGCAGGGCGACTAAAAAGATCAGTTTATTCCTTTAATATAACATCTGCTGAAGCACTACGATTGGCATCATCATAGATTGTATTTCGTTTTGCTGATGAGCACTTTGCGATGACAAACATGCTAGTGATAAGTTTAGATCTCTAACTGGAATCTAAAGTATATAGGCTTCTATGCCAAACGCAGAACAATGTATAGAAAGAAGTTAGGATGCTTGTAATCGAATCTTGGCACTGGATGCAGGGTATCTTTATGTCGGACACTGCAGAGCAATGGATTATTTTTTAGCTAAAATATCCCCTATTTTGTTGTATACTTATAACAAAGAACATTTTTTCGCCAGTTCCATAGATAATAGCTATCAGCTGACTTTAATTAATATCACATAATTTTCGTTGATGTACTTTAAAAAAAAAAAGTACAATTTGAATGAAGTGTAGGCAAGGGCTACTCGTGCCGCTAATCTACCAGCAAATGCTGTATGTCGGGCCGGTAGGAGGGCGCATCAATAGAAACATTAACATTGAGAGCTGAGTGGGTTGCCTTTCATAGGGCTCAAGCTCAGTGTCGGGTCGCAATTGTAAATGGGCCACGGGTTGAGGCCCATAAAAATAGCTCAATCAACAGGTCACACATACGCACACCAAATACTAAATACACACAAGTCTGTGTGTGTGTGTGCGAATCCTTTTCAGGATAGCAAAGCAGCTAATGCGTAGTTATATTTATAGACTGGCCTGTTTTGTAAGCCGGAGCGTTTGTTGGCGCCCTGCGGCCCTTTCTTGAAGGCAGCTTTGTTCTCGAAAATACACGCACAGTTATTTTCATGTGAAATTCAACATATGAGCATATCGGCTGGTGTGTCATGCATATTTAACTCAGATGTACAATATATGTAGCTTATTCAAATGAATACTATAACAATTGGCATTTACCTTCCAGAACTGTGGGCTTATCGGCGTTGGGTGTTGCGGCTGATGGAGCGCCCCCTGGACTACGCTGGCGTTGGTCCATCTTTTTAGTGGAATTGCGAGTTCTCTTCCACTTCTCCAGTTTGACTGAGATGATTTTCTGATTGGTTTGGTTCTTCGAATTGAATTTCACAATGCGCAGCCCCAGCCTCTGGCGCGGCAGTGAGCAACAAGTTTGTTTTTTCCAATGGTCAACTTTTATTTGCAATTTAAGGCTTCTCTTGCGTTTTCACTCAGGCTCGACACAGTTGCTGGCTAGTTGCCACAACAACAACAACAACAACAACAAGCAAACGCCTCCGATTGCACTGTAATTACCCCGTCGCCGAGACTATGAAATTCGAGTGTTCAGCGCAAATGACGTTTTTGATAAATAAAATTTGTGGTCGGTGGTTGTCGTTGTTGTCGTCCAACCGCGCAGCGAAGCGCAGGCGAGCAGTGTATACGCGTTTGTGTGCGTGTGTGTGTCTGGAAAGTTAATGTGTGACGTTGGCATGAATCAGACGGTGGGCGCTACGTCTACACGCGCGATTGATTTCGACACAATGGTAATCAAAACTCTGAAAATAGCATTTGTTTCCCGTTTTTTATGCAATTATTTTGCTACGCGCGGGCAGCACCGTCCTCAAAACAACACTGTAATTGTTATTGATATCGAAACATCGATGTATGCTAAGGAAAATTCAAGTTATAAGATCATGAGACGATGAGTTTCGCTATCGTTTCGATGAAATTCAATTAAGTGCCATCCTTAAGAACTTATAACGGAAAATCGCTCATTCAATGGTGTTGGAAATATTTAATAAACTTTTTGTTTTAATCAGCTTAGGAGAATAACATCGAAATGAGGTAATGAATAAAAAAAAGGTAGTCTAGCGTATTAGTTTATTATTCACATTATGAATTTGAAACTATTCGACGCTTTGTGACTGGCTGCAGCTGATAAGGTATATCGATAGTTTTCAATAGCGTATCTTACAACATGTCAAACTATCAGAACGTAACAAAATAATTTCGATAGTTAATATAAGGTTCGGAACGTATGTAAAATCTTTTTGACTTTTTATTATTGTTGCATCAAATTGAATTAAATTATCTTTTGCAGCGCTGCATAATGCGTTTGCTTAAAGTGGGCAACCGCATGGCCGCTCTGCGTGTGCGTTTGGAGGAGAAATTTACACTGCCAGAGCGTTTTAAAGGAACTGTGGTGGAGAAGTGGGCCAACTACTGGAAAGGATTGTTGCGTGACTACTCAGAAGTGGCCGTTGGCGTCATTAAAGAGTCGTATGCTAAGCCTAAGAAAACGCTGGCATACGGTACATGCTTAATCGCCCTGTACCAGACGGCCAAGAACAATCCAGATCACCTTGCCTTTATGACGCTATTGCGTAAACAAACAAACCGCATGATAACGCTGCCACCGGCACAACAGAACCCCGAATCTGCCGAATATCTGATTATGCTGGAGCGTGCCATCAATCAGAAGAAGCTGCGCCTCCTCTCCCTGGGCTTCTTCACGCTGATGTGGGTGGATATGTATGACGAGGATGACTGCACCTATCCGGCCATTTGTGAGTACACAACAGTAGGCCTTCTGAATTTCCACGAACGCATCATCGATGTGGGCTTTTGGAACCAGTTCTGGCGTCTCAAGTGGAAGATGCGAAATTACGATATCAACTATCTGTGATAGTGTTTGAATAGGCTCACCACAGTGTGCTTCATCTAGTGATCGCGAAATCAACTTGTCTGTTACCTCTGCTTAGTTATGTTTAATATCATAAATTGTACATCATTTCAAGAGAAAACAAACCAATTAGTACAAATTAATATAAGTAATGCGATATTTCCTGTTTCACGAGGCGCTCGCGGGATCTGCATTTGGTTTTTTTGGCTTAAAGTGCGCCTCTAACAGAGCATTACATTCTTGTAGTCCGGAAAGATTCGTTATCTTGCCTTGAAAATTGTTCTCCTTGCCATTGCCTTTGCCCTCGAGTAGCTCAAGAAACTTTGGACCAAGCTGCTCCACCAGCGTCGGTTCACCGCGCAGTACCATATGTCCTTTGGCGCCACTGCCGCTCGACACGCTCTCGGACACGGTCAAAAAATAGAAAATTTCCTCTGGGGCATTTCGCAGAAATGTGTTAATGAAGTCAACTTCGATGCCGTCACGCCGATGAAGGGCAAAGTATTTGGGACGCATAGCTTTGGGCAGATTCTCCAGGCGTTCGGCTTCTGCGTTAGCGAAATCTTTTAACAGCTGTTGAAACGATTTGCGTGTGGATTTCACATTTTGATGCAGCTTTTGCACCAGCTCCAGATGCTGCTGTGGGCCGCCCCTAAAAGATTTCGATTGGATAACATTCTGGAATTCTTCATGATAAGGGAAATGGGTTATCAGGTTATCTTACTTAAGCGCCACTGTGAGCTGCTGCTCGCGTTTGAAGATCTCGCCCAGCTTTCGCAGGACACGTTCACCCACCACAAAATACACCAGAACATTTGACTTGACCTTCTCGGCATACAACAGCTTGATGCACTGTAGTTGGGACAAATTGGTCACGTGTGTGCCGCAGCACATGTTGGACTCAATGCCCTCGATGCGGACAACACGTGCCAGTCCCTCATGGTCCTTGGGCAGGCCGCGTGGTGCGCGTGCATCCTGAAACTCTTGTGCCACCTCCGGGTCCACGAGCAGCACGCTGACAGCGCGACCCTCGCGAATTAGATCATTGGCTTGCCGCTCTATAAGATCAAGTGACTCGCGACTAATAAGATGTGGTGTGCTCAGCTGTATATATGAGACGCTGGCGCCCAGCGACCAGGACGTTGTGTCATACTTGAACTCGCGATCGAACAGTGCTGTTATCAGATGCTGACCGGAATGTTGCTGCATGTGGTCCAGACGGCGCGGCCAATCCAAATGCTGCTGCACTTCGGTACCCTCCTCAAAGCAGGTAGACGACTCGACAAAGTGAATGGCTGTGCTGCCCTTGCGCAAGACATTGCGTACCGGTTGCCCATTGATCGTGCCATAGTCGCAGGGCTGACCGCCGCCCTCGGGAAACAGGATGGTGTCCTCACAGACCAAGTTGACGCCGCGCAGCTGACGCGCTTCTGCGCTATTGTCCTCGCCGCTCCACTCCAAAGTAGCATATTCGCACGAGACGACAGTCGTCCGGAACTGCAAGAAAGACATGGATTAAGCGGTGATGGCATCCTTTGAAGGTGAGTGCATCTTGCCTGCTTAAGGAAGCTGTCTTCCTGACATTTGAAGACCATGTTGTTAGCAGCTGTTTGTTTGGGTTAATTATGAAATCTTTTGGCAAGTGTTGTCATTTACAGGGCCCGAAACCGGCAACAACAAAAACAAATGCACTCGGTAAATATCGTAACGTGTTCGATTGCGTTTGCGTTACGTTACGTTGTTCTGCTTTGCGATGATTCGATACTTTGCGCTTTGTTTTGGGTATTTTTTTGTATATACATTAACTGTGCTTACGTTCCTGGCTTTACGTCTTTACTATTTACGTTGACGCTGTTCATTTAACTGCCATTAACATTAACGCACTCTTTGCATTTGATTTCACATGTAACGGTCGTGGCAGTTTTTAAATTTTATAATTCACGTAACCGTCATACAAATACAAAAGCATATGCCCAACAGCTGTCTGTGGAAGTGGTGGTTTTGGCCTAATTTGTTGCTGCTCATTTCTTTGTTTTGGCCTTTTCTGTTTACACAAACCATTTCATTCAGAACTCCAGCTACCCCCCACTGTTGTCGTCTCGCTCTAACTGACGCCCACTGCCACCAGCTATCCTGGTTGTTGACTGCGCGCGCGCTTAATATACCAGCAGCATGCTGCGTATGCGACCTCTGGTATTCATCCTGTTGTCCGCTCAACAGTTTCTTGTCATCGTCCTGCAGTTTCAGCAGTACGGCGCGTCATTGCGACCCGCTACTGGGTCTAACGTTGATAAGCTTGTAATCGCATACATACATACGCATATATATTTGGAAATATATGTGCATTATCAGCTTATGTATGTATGTGAAGGGCTCTTAATACAGTTAAATGCCTAGACACTCACCTGCGTAGCAGCACGTGTAAAGTGTCCTTTACCCTACGCTCGTTTCGTTATCGTCATATTCGTTTTTATCGTCTGCAGCAGGAGCGTTTCGTTATATAAGGGCCAACCAATTTGCGTGGGCTTTTTATATATGTAAAAGTGCCAGCCGAAAAGTAGGCAACATATAATTGTTGTTGTTAATCTTACTAACTCAATCGCTGACGACGGTACGAAAAATGAATTGAAAATTTAATTTCAAATAAACAATATAGTTAATCAAAAATTGTGGAATGATGTGTATGCACGCGTTGAATTATAAAAATGTTAAAAAAAAATCGTTAAAATATATGTATGTGTTGTTAGAATACAGTATTGGACGACTGACTAGAACTCACGATATCAAAGGGTTTTCAAGGCAACATTTACTGTTGTTTCTGTCCGTGAAAACCATTATCCTGGGTACTTTATCAGCCTGTTTTACTAAAATCCTATCGTATTAGGTATCAGTTGCTGTGGGTGTTCCTGTATGTGTATGCGCGTGTGTGTGTGTGTTGCGTATGTGGGTCGTTGTAGTAAAGTTCATTTGATTGATTTATTATGGACGGGTGCTCCAGCCATGCTGCGCTTTGTCAATGACTGTCAGTATGTGTCCTGAACGGGAGCCCTCAGTCGTCTGTGGGCATGTTTGTGTCTCCGTTGGCTGTTTTATATTGTGTATTTATACACTGATTGATTGTTATTGCTGCATGATACTTTTATATACGTTTTGGTTATTTTACGTTCTTGCTCATTTGCCTGAAATTACAATTTGTTTAGCCGTCACCATCAAGCCCAAAGGAAACTAAGAACAGCACCAATTAAGATGGCGTCTAGTGATAATTTTACTTAGCGCACAAAAGTATGCAATGCGAATGTCACGATTAAGCCGTTAGTTACCTGAGCAGCACAGCACAGCAAACAACCCACGCACATGCACAGAATTTGCCGATTATCAACTCGCAAGAGCGCACATTTCTTATGTACAAAGTACTTGTTTGCTAAGTAAATAACAGTTAGAAAGACTTAGACAAAAGAATTCTTAAAAGTAACAACAAAACTCTTAACGTTTAACTCTAATCGTCGACAATGGCCAATACAGCGCAACTGTTGCGCCGCCAGAGCTCGCGTGACATTGTGCTCAAGAGCCAAAAAAGTATCGATCAATTGGAGCTGCGGGTGAGTGAATCGTGTAGCCTATAAACCAGTTGAACATTGAGCTTATTATATTTGATATTCAAGGAGCTGCGTGGCCGTCTGGTCTCCAAGGAGCATGGCGTCAGTCATCATCATCACACATCACTGCATCACCATCATCAGCCCATGTATGGTGCCACAAATCAGGGCTTCATGTCCGATGCCTTTGACGAGTCATCCGAACTGGAACAGGAGCCACCATTTGGATCCGATGCCAGCACCAGCAAAATTAAGGTCGAGCTGGCCACTGCTGTCGATCAACAGGAACAGCAGGATATCGTTGAGGGCGAGAAGGAGGGTGACGAGCGCGAGAGCTGGGATAGCAAAATTATGTTTCTGCTGGCCACCATAGGGTGAGTAAAGATATACCTGATATACTATACTATATGCATAAATAAAAGCTTAAAAATTAATTAATTCAAGAGTTCAAGTCCTTTTTGAACCCAGAAATTACTCGAACCTTAAATTGGAAAAATTGGCTAAACCTAAGCCGAACTATAATTTAAACCGAAGCATATTTATTTTTTCAAAAGTGCTTTGTATTTATTTCTTAAATTGTTGTGCAGTGTTGAAAATTTAAGTAATTTTGTTAAATACATAACTTCAATTCACTTTTGAAGAATGTGAAGAATGTGTTCAATCAATGTTCGAGCCAAAACCTGGATTTCTGCCTAGTATGTTAAGCGAGGTTTGATTAAATCAAAACCTCAAAGCGAAAAAATGGTTCAGGATTGGAGCTGTGCTTTAAATTCGAAAAATTCGCTGGAATTTCGACAGAATATCTGCAATAGCTCGACAATTCTCTCTGATTCCTGTTTTAATTAAATAACAATACGATTGTCTAGAACTCTTAGCTTGAACTGTTCATGAACTGCAGACATTTTTCTTTTTGCTTGCCATACAGCTATGCAGTCGGCCTGGGCAATGTTTGGCGCTTTCCATATCTGGCGCAGAAGAATGGCGGCGGCGCCTTTTTGGTGCCCTACTTCATAATGCTGTGCATCCAGGGCATACCGATCTTCTATTTGGAGCTGGCCATTGGACAGCGACTGCGCAAGGGGGCAATTGGCGTATGGAGCCAGGTGTCGCCATATCTTGGGGGCATTGGCATCTCCTCGGCAGTGGTTAGCTTCATTGTGGCGCTGTATTACAATACGATCATTGCCTGGTGCTTGATCTACCTGCTGCACAGCTTTGAGTCGCCATTGCCCTGGGCCGATTGCCCGACACGCCTCTACAGGAACTACACGTACGATCATGAGCCGGAGTGTGTGGCATCATCGCCAACTCAATTCTATTGGTATCGCACCACGTTGCAGTGCTCGGAGGGCGTGGACATGCCGGAGAACTTCAATTATCACATGGCCATTGCACTGATTGTGTCCTGGTTTCTGGTCTACATATGCATGGTGCAGGGCATAACATCGTCTGGCAAAATAGTCTATATGACGGCCATATTTCCCTATGTGGTGCTCATCATATTCTTCTTTCGTGGCATCACACTGAAGGGCGCCGCCGACGGGGTTGCCCATCTGTTTACCCCACGCTGGGACACGCTGCTCGATCCGGTGGTCTGGCTGGAGGCTGGCACACAGATTTTCTTCTCGCTGGGCCTCGCATTTGGCGGCTTGATAGCCTTCAGCTCCTACAATCCAGCCAACAACAATTGCTATCGGGATGCAATACTCGTTTCGCTAACCAATTGTGGCACCTCTATGTTCGCCGGCGTTGTGGTCTTTTCGGTGATTGGCTTTAAGGCCACAGCGACCTTTGACCGCTGTACGGAGGACCGAGCCGCTCTGGTTGCCCAGAATCGTACACACAATTTACCCATCTGCGATCTGGAGCAGGAGCTGGCCAATGTAAGTGTGTGTCGCTCATTAAATGTTTGGACTTTTCTAAATCGCAAATTGTCATCATTTGCAGAGCGCCTCGGGTACTGGACTGGCCTTTATCATATTTACGGAAGCGATTAATCAGTTTCCCGGCGCCCAGCTCTGGGCTGTACTCTTCTTTCTCATGCTCTTCACACTGGGCATCGATTCGCAGTTTGGCACGCTGGAGGGCGTAGTCACATCGCTGGTGGACATGAAGCTATTCCCCAATCTGCCCAAGGAGTGGATCGTTGGCGTATGTTGTATCCCTCCCATACAGCAGCAGCTGCTGCATCAGCTTATCCCTGGTTATATTTTTATTGCAGGCACTGTGCCTCTCCTGCTGCCTGATTTCCATGTGCTTTGCCAACGGCGCCGGCAGCTACATCTTTCAGCTAATGGACAGCTTTGCCGGCAACTTTCCGCTGCTAATTATTGCGCTCTTCGAGTGCCTATCGATCAGCTACATCTATGGGGTGAGGCGTTTCTCGGATGACATTGAGATGATGACCGGCTCGAGGCCAGGCTTCTATTGGATGTTCTGCTGGAAGTACTTGTCGCCCTGCGCCATGGTTACCATACTGTTGGCCTCCTTCTACCAGCTGCTGACCGAGGGCAGCAGCTACCCGGCCTGGATCGCGGCTAAGGGCGCCACCGAGAATATGGAGTGGCCACATTGGTGCATTGTCATTGCCTTCATCCTGATACTCTCATCCATACTGTGGATACCACTTGTGGCTATATTGCGGTAAGTTAAAAGCTCTTACAGCTAACATCGCTTCATGCATCTCACTCTGATTGGGCGAAAAGTATATGCCAAATATCTGAAGCAATAGTTAATCGAGCAAGTATATTAGTATTTAGGTTGGTAACCGCTTCATGGGTTTTACTGTCTAAACGTTTCATACCCTTTACAAGGTTCGCTAATTTGTTCTCGTTTTTGACAAACAATAGTCTGTGCGGCATCAAGGTAGTTGAGGATTCGGATCCTGCCTGGTTCCCTGAGGCGGAACTGAAAGAGGTGCACGGCATCGTGCCCCATGAGCCCACCGAGCTGGAGCGCAGCATCTTTTGCTTTAATATGGACGGCACGGAGGGTATGTGCTGTCCCAAATACGGGCTGCCCGAGAAGTCGCTCGAAGAGGAGGAGGAATAAATGCGGCAGCTGCTGCAATTGCTGACAATAACGAAACTAAACAATTATGTGTAAATATGGACAATAACTAAGCCAAAAGCTCGCTCACCGATGGAAGTCAGCGTCAATATCGACAACTATCTGTATCTCCCATGTATGTTATGTATCTATATGTTCCCAAAGACTGCTCGAAAGACAACAACAATGCTAGGAACCCCAATGGCCACAGACAAAAACAACGGTGAACTCAGCGCCTGGTGCGCGGTTTCAGTAACAAAAAATACAAAAAAAAACCAAACAAAAAAAAAAATCAAAATTAATAAAACAAATACTAATAAAAAAACAAAACGACTTAAATCTATAAAATGTTTCCGCATAACTTCATAAATATGTTCAATGTTCTACGATAATTATGTATGTGTGTGTGTATAAGGCAGCTCGGATAGCAGAAATGCCAGTAACAAAATAATCTGAAATCAACTTCGGAAATGAATTTTTTTTTTATTTTGAATATATATAGTTAAAAGTGGGACACATTATGGTACTCACATATACAATACTCGAAACGTTTTGGCATAACCCACATACATATGTATATGTACTACATTTCCGATTTCATATGACGCGCCATATTCGAAGTTGAATCATTAATTTTCACATAAATGAAGAAACGGAAAAATTGAAATGCAAAGTGAAATTGACAACCAGTTGATAAAATGAATTGCTGACTATATATATATATATATACATATGTACTTATATCTAATATATGAAACTACTTATAAATGTATTTATAATGTAATCGTATCTGAAGCGTTTAAAGACGCTTAAAGTTAAAGTGTTTCGATAGTTTGTTCCGAAGTCCTCTATACCTCTATTTTGTTTTTGCCTTTAGTCTATATACATATATATATATGTATGTATACGTGCAATATATGTTTATTGATAAAGCAATGTTGAAACCGTACCATATCTTTTTAGTTATAAATAATAAGTATGACATGTTATACTGCTAGACACACTATATATATGCCCATATGATTGTCTGTTGTGATTCGCTTAGCTTTTTGTGTTGTTGTTCAATCACTTAACAAGACGCCTTGGCTAGAAAAATACCCTATTCTCGTATGGTTCTTAGTTTCTATGTTTAATTTGTAATTGTTTTGTAGTTTCTAAGATGCTTACTGGAGTTCTTTATCAAGTGGGGACAGTATGAAAACTGAAATAAATTTGATCTGTGTTGCGATTATAAAAAACATTTTCTAGCTCTTAAGTCGCTTAAAATACGAACATATCTATTATAATAATAATATGTATACATACAGACATTGTGCATACGTCTATTTTTTGGTCCATATTAGGATCTAGAATATATAGAAATCTAAATGTGTTTAGTTTCTTTTAGTTTTGAATGTTATTCTTAAAAATTGTTAATAATTTCTCAGTACAACAAATGTACTTATTTAAGATCTGAACGTCTTAGCCAAATACATAAGCTGCATAAATTGTAATAACTGAGGTATAGCTAAACGTGATTGGAGCCAGTTACATATATATTTATATGTGCTATATATCTGCGGGCTCTGATCATGCGGTGTTTTAACAGCTATATACTATATAGTATACGTCTACATATATTTTAAATGCCTAACTAAACGAAACCGTTCATCTAGCCGAAATCGAATTGTGTAGGACGACAAGAACTCGCTCTAACTTGGCTATAAATATACTTAGATATACTAAAGGAGTTATAAATATTATTAAAAAAAATATATATATATATCATGCCACTGAAGGAATATACTTACATAAGTACCTATATATGTACGTATTTATGTGTGTTAAATGTGCAATGCAACTAATAATTTATTTAACATAGTTGTACTATATTTACATAAATACATATACACGCATCCATGTATAGTTAAGATTATTATATAGTATATACATGCGTGCATATTGAACTGTATTAAGTGTTATCGATGTTGACAATAATTATGAAAGAATGTTTTAATGCCATATACAATTATACTATACCTAGTCATTCCACCCGCCCCCACCCCCAAAAAGACCCAGCCCACAATTTGCTTACCTACTTATATGAAATTAGCAAGAAATATAAAAATAAACATATATTAATTGAAAAACAAGTAAGAGGTTCTAGTTGGGAGCGCCCGACAAGGGGATACTCTGAACCTTCTTCTTCCAACATCAAATGCATATACATATATATTCTATTTTAGAAGCAACATATCATGTTTCCTGACTCTAGCTCTTATTATTTACCAAAATTGCCCCATCTAAAATTTCAAGTCTATAGCTCTTATATGTTCTGAGATCCTTGCGTTCATACATACGGACGGACGGACGGACGGACAGACAGACGGACATGCCTAGATCGACTCGGCTATTGATGCTGATCAAGAATATATATACTTTATGGGATCAGAGATGCTTCCTTCTGCCTGTTACATACATTTGGATTTTGCACAAATACAATAAACCCTTATACCCATTTTTAATGGGTTGAGGGTATAATCATCGAAAAAGTTTCGATTTTCGCACCGACCTTTATTTTGAAAAAAAGCGATTTGGGTCAAATTTTTGGATTTCCTTTTTTTAATGCCAATCGATAGAACTGATCCTTACGAGTCAAAACTGGTATGATATTGCAAAATCGGACATTATTTGACGGACATATTCCAAAAAATCATTAAAAAGGTTGAGTTTACGAACGAATCGTTTTTGTTAACAACATTTTTCAACCAATCGATGATTAATTTGTTTGAATGCCAACTGATGGTAGGGATCCGTACGCATTCAAAACGGTATAATATTTTAAAATCAGACATTATTTACCCGATATATTAAAAGAAAATCATCGAAAAAGTTTCGATTTTCGCATCCACCTCGATTTTGAAAAGTCGTAATGATTTAGAAGGTAATATCTCCGCGCGGAGTTATGTCGTTTTGGAACATCATATCTCCGCGGGGAGTTATTTCGTTTTTGTCCGCGCGGAGTTATGTCGTTTTGGAACGTCATATCTCCCCGCGCAGTTATGTCGTTTTTGTCCGCGCGGAGTTATGTCGTTTTGGAACGTCATATCTCCGCGCGGAGTTATGTCGTTTTGGAACGTCATATCTCCCCGCGCAGTTATGTCGTTTTTGTCCGCGCGGAGTTATGTCGTTTTGGAACGTCATATCTCCGCGCGGAGTTATTTCGTTTTTATCCGCGCGGAGTTATGTCGTTTAAGAACGTCATATCTCCGCGCGGAGTTATTTCGTTTTGGAACGTCATATCTCCGCGGAGAGTTATTTCGTTTTTCTCCGCGCGGAGTTATGTCGTTTTGGAACGTCATATCTCCGCGCGGAGTTATTTCGTTTTTATCCGCGCGGAGTTATGTCGTTTTGGAACGTCATATCTCCGCGCGGAGTTATGTCGTTTTGGAACGTCATATCTCCCCGCGCAGTTATGTCGTTTTTGTCCGCGCGGAGTTATGTCGTTTTGGAACGTCATATCTCCGCGCGGAGTTATTTCGTTTTTATCCGCGCGGAGTTATGTCGTTTTGGAACGTCATATCTCCGCGCGTAGTTATTTCGTTTTGGAACGTCATATCTCCGCGGAGAGTTATTTCGTTTTTCTCCGCGCGGAGTTATGTCGTTTTGGAACGTCATATCTCCGCGCGGGGTTATTTCGTTTTTATCCGCGCGGAGTTATGTCGTTTTGGAACGTCATATCTCCCCGCGCAGTTATGTCGTTTTTGTCCGCGCGGAGTTATGTCGTTTTGGAACGTCATATCTCCCGCGCAGTTATGTCGTTTTTGTCCGCGCGGAGTTATGTCGTTTTGGAACGTCATATCTCCGCGCGGAGTTATTTCGTTTTTGTCCCCGCGGAGTTATGTCGTTTTGGAACGTCATATCTCCCGCGCAGTTATGTCGTTTTTGTCCGCGCGGAGTTATGTCGTTTTGGAACGTCATATCTCCGCGCGGAGCTATTTCGTTTTTGTCCGCACGGAGTTATGTCGTTTTGGAACGTCATATCTCCCCGCGGAGTTATTTCGTTTTTGTCCGCGCGGAGTTATGTCGTTTTGGAACGTCATATCTCCCCGCGCAGTTATGTCGTTTTTGTCCGTGCGGAGTTATGTCGTTTTGGAACGTCATATCTCCCGCGCAGTTATGTCGTTTTTGTCCGCGCGGAGTTATGTCGGTTTGGAACGTCATATCTCCCCGCGGAGTTATTTCGTTTTTGTCCGCGCGGAGTTATGTCGTTTTGGAACGTCATATCTCCGCGCGGAGTTATTTCGTTTTTGTCCGCGCGGAGTTATGTCGTTTTGGAACGTCATATCTCCGCGCGGAGTTATGTCGTTTGGGAACGTCATATTTCCGCGCGGAGTTATTTCGTTTTTGTCCGCGCGGAGTTATGTCGTTTGGGAACGTCATATCTCCGCGCGGAGTTATTTCGTTTTTGTCCGCGCGGAGTTATGTCGTTTTGGAACGTCATATCTCCCCGCGGAGTTATTTCGTTTTTGTCCGCGCGGAGTTATGTCGTTTTGGAACGTCATATCTCCCCGCGGAGTTATTTCGTTTTTGTCCGCGCGGAGTTATGTCGTTTTGGAACGTCATATCTCCCCGCGCAGTTATGTCGTTTTTGTCCGCGCGGAGTTATGTCGTTTTGGAACGTCATATCTCCGCGCGGAGTTATTTCGTTTTTATCCGCGCGGAGTTATGTCGTTTTGGAACGTCATATCTCCGCGCGGAGTTATGTCGTTTGGGAACGTCATATCTCCGCGCGGAGTTATTTCGTTTTTGTCCGCGCGGAGTTATGTCGTTTTGGAACGTCATATCTCCGCGCGGAGTTATTTCGTTTTTATCCGCGCGGAGTTATGTCGTTTTGGAACGTCATATCTCCGCGCGGAGTTATGTTGTTTGGGAACGTCATATCTCCGCGCGGAGTTATTTCGTTTTTGTCCGCGCGGAGTTATGTCGTTTTGGAACGTCATATCTCCGCGCGGAGTTATTTCGTTTTTATCCGCGCGGAGTTATGTCGTTTTGGAACGTCATATCTCCGCGCGGAGTGATTTCGTTTTTGTCCGCGCGGAGTTATGTCGTTTTGGAACGTCATATCTCCGCGCGGAGTGATTTCGTTTTTGTCCGCGCGGAGTTATGTCGTTTTGGAACGTCATATCTCCCCTCGAGTTATTACCCGAGATATTAAAAAAAATCATCGAAAAAATTTCGATTTTCGCATCGAACTCGATTTTGAAAAAAAAACGTGATGTAACCCCTTGCCATTTTGTCGATTTGGGTCAAAATTTTGAATTAAGTACTTATGATAAAAAAAGGAACTTAAATAGCATTACAGAAAAATTCCCAATAACCATGCTGTTAAAATGTGAAGCGTTTTATTCAATTTAATTAGCATTGAAGTATTGTTTACTATTCTAATAAATATTGCATTTTGTTCTATTGTAAAAAAATATATTCTATCGAAATTCAAAGGATAATATGCAATATTATATATATATATAAAACGATGTGCATTGTGTATAAAAGGACACTTCGATATCATTACGATTATGTTAAAAGTTGGCCAATGATGAACAATAACAACAATTTACCTAATGACAATAAAGCAATTGTGTAAAAAGCCAACTCTAAATCGACTTCTAATTATATTATTTTATAAATTGGCAGCCTTAAGCTATATACTTTAAGGGAAGGAAAAGGTGTTTCTGATACGGACAGATTACTTTTATCATCTTCATTGTTCAAATGTGGACAATAATAATATATGAAAATAAAATATCATTGCTATTATTATTATAATTATTATAATGAGATACGGATATATATAGTTAAAAACTATATCTTTCAGCTCGCAAAATATTATATTCATAAACGTTGTCTAGGATTTGAGACCAGATTCTTGCTTAGCTAAAAGGTTTCGATATATATAAATATATATATGTTCGGCAGTTTTACAGCCTAGTTCACAGAATATTCCAGGCTGGAACTTAGTGTGCCTGAGAGTATTGTTTTCAGAAGTCCTTGATCTTATAATCAAGAGGTAAGAGTGCTTCAAGCCTGTGCATGTGCTTATTTTTATACTTTAGCAGAGGGTATTATAATTTTGTCCTTAAATATGTAACGCTTCGAATGAGACATCTTCTTACATATAAGCCCAATATTATCAAATCAATTATACGGTTTTCACCAATTTTCAAAGGGGTCAGGCTATAAAATGAGTACTGCGCAGTCAGCTGGACCCGACCTTCTTACTTGCTTCCTTCTTTCTGGTACTCATTAAAAAGTGAATAAAATGGAAGTCTTGCATTTTGCGCGTGAATGCGAATCGGGCGGAAAATGGGCGGGTATCTAGAGCCAGGTACGGGGTTCTTTTACTGGGGCGCTAAGCGGTTGCAAGTCTCAGTCTGTTGTAGCTTTGTTGCGAGTCGAGAGCTTTTATGCCTTGCCAGATAACTGGTAGTCTTAACTGAGTTGGCTGAGGCACCTTGCCAGCCGCAGCTGCAAGTCATGCCACGCATTCCTAACGGTCAGCACAACTGTGGTTCTAACTTGTCCAGTCGCAAGCTCTGCCCCTTTGCCCGTTGACACCCCTGGGCTTGCTGCAGCGAAGCGCAACAGGCGGAAACGCTTGCCAGGTGATCAGCCTGGCGGGCGGGGAGTGTAGACAGGCTGCTGGGTAACCAGGTAGCCAGCCGGGTAGTCAATAGGCTGGGCAGCAATGCTTAGTCCGTCAGCGTCTTGGCCGCAGCTTGCGCATCAAATTAGCGGAAAATTACAGCTTGAAGTGGGCTTTTCTGCTGTTGCTGTTGTTGTTGGTGTTGTTGGTGTTGCTGTTGTTGGTGTTGCTTATGGCTTTGGTGTTGCCGTTTCGCTAACTCTGTTCATGTGCATTTGAACATTTTTGTGGCTTCGTTGAATGCACACACAAATTTGAAAAGCTTTGCATAGATGTTAATGGAAATCCAGCCAGGCGAGTACAATTAAAAGCAAAATTCAAAATGCAACAATATCATGCTGCTGCTGCTGCAGCTGCTGCAGTTGTTGTTATTGCTGTTTATGTTTTTGTTGTAGCTGCGACACCTGCACACAAATTGTTGGCATAGTTTTTGTGGCAGCGCCAACAACAACAACAACAACAATCGACAACGCCAATCGATCGATAACAGACATGTTAAATGGTAAGTCAACAGCAGCAGCGACGCTTGCAGCGACTGCAACGTCGACTGCGACGGCGACAGAGACTGCAACGTCAAGACGACAACTAGTCAACCTTAGACGGACGAGCCTAGACAAACCTAAGGCGCCAACAACATTAATAGCAGCAACAACAATGCACAAATACATATGTTGAATAGAAAAGATAAATATGTACAGACCAAGAGAGTAAGAGAGATAGAGAGAGAGAGAGAGAGAGATAGAGCGAGGGAGCGAGAGAAAGATAACCAAGCCATTGAGCCATGCCCAGGCGTAACCCATACATACACACGTACGTGTATGCAATATATATACACATATGAGGCAGGCGAAATAAATGAAATAGCTAAGACGAATGCCGCAAAAGTCGACGTTTACAAGCGACCGACAGTGGTATGCACAGTGGCCTAACATAACGCGCATCTGTTAACAGGTTCTGTTCATTGATAGCAGGTTTGGCACATGTTACTGCTATTCGGAATGTCCACGAATATCTACATGAGTTTGAGTATATTTTGACAGGTTTGAAGTGTAAGCATAAAGGAAAATTGAAAAGCTAAGGATCATTTTTGAGCTTACAGCTTGGAAATGTTAGCAGCAATGATATCACTTATTTTTAAGAATAAAAATCAAATCAAGTCGTTAATGATTTAAAACAAAAGTTTTCTTATCTAATCTTTGCTCGTTTTGCAAAGGAATTGTTGTGTAACAAATTTAACAGATTGGTAAATTCTCGATCAAAATAGTTTCTGATACATATTTAGTTTTCAATGGGCTCACAAAAATATGTTTAGATGCCGCCAATCTGATGCATGCTTCGCTAAGGCAATACTTAAAATTTTTATACTTACTCAAAGGTCATAAAAAAGATTCTTCTTTATAAATGGACATTTAAAAGGTTTAAAATAATTGTAATTTGCAAGATAGAGTTTTGTGAAAAGAACTACCATCATGGCAAATAAGTGCAGAAATATTATATTTGAGAATAATATGCATTTGATTCTAAGCTGTTTGCGATGTTGGTGACACTGTGCGGCTTGGGGCAACTGCGGCAGCCGCACACAATTAACTTTGGCAACAAACGAGTACTACAACAATAACAGCGGCAGCAGCAGCAACAGCAGCAGCAGCGGCAACAACAGGTGGGTTGCGGGGTGGTGGCGGCATGGGGGTCTGTACGATGGTTGAGGCGCTGCCAGCGTTGGCGTTGGCATCGGCGTCGACGTAGACAGCGGCTGCGCCTGCGCACGTAAACAAATTCTCGGCTCACATTGTTTTTGCCACTGCTGCCGCTGGCTGCGTCGTCGCAGCGCAACGTTTATGACTGCGATTGCTGACTTTTTGTTGTTGTTCTTGCTGTTATTTTTGTTGTTTTAAGTTATTTCGTTGGCGACGGCGACGGCGACGGCGACGTTGCTGCTGCTGCTGCTGCTGCTTTTTAACTGCTTTGCGGGTTTTTTTTTTTGGTTTCTTGAAAGCAAAAATTTAAAAAATAAAAGCAACAGCAGCGGACGCGGCAGCGACAGAGGCACGTAGAAAAAAAACACACACACAACAACAACAACAACAACAACAACAACAAATCCCTGGCAAAACACGCCAACCCAGCGCGACTTTGTTGCTGCGGTTTTCAGTTGCCAGCGCGATTTTGAATGAGTTGTACGCGCCGCGTTCGCTTTGAGGGGCCCAAAACTGAAAACCGAAAACCGAAAACTGAAAACTGAAAACCAAAAACCATAACTCGAAACTCTTCAGAATCGCGAGTGCGTGCGTGCGTGTGTGCCTGTGTGCGTGTGCGCCTTCGACTGTGTGTGTGTGTGTGTGAGCCGCGCCCACCCGCCCTTACGATAGCTGCCCCCACAAGCTGCACATTTTGTTGTATTTTTTTTTTGTTGGCTAAGTTTGGTTTGTTATTTTCGTGTTTTTGTTGTGCATGTGCCGCCAAATGAAATTTGTGTGCAACAAGCGGCGAATGCAGGCCAGCAGCAACAACAGCAGCAGCAACAGCAACAACAACTGTTACTTTTAGAGGTTAGGCGCCTTGTCCGCCCGCTTCAAATATTTTCGAACTGGGTATCCCACAACTGGTCAGCGCCAGGTTCAAGTGTAACCAGTTACCAGTTTCCAGAAACACGACAACAACAGCAACAGCAACAACAACAGCAACACCAACAGCAACAACAGCAACAGCAACAACAACAGCATCAGCTTCAACCACTTCAAATGTATGTAAATCTTGTTCTTAAAAGCGTTTTTATTTTTATTTTTTTTTTGTATTGTTGCTTTTTGTTTTCGACTCTAAAAGTATCGATGATGTGCGACCCATAAAAACTGGTGTATTCGCTTTGCACAGCATTTGGAAACAATGAATTTCGTTTTTACTGGACGCTGTAAATGCTGTTTGTTCTTTATTTTAGCTTCTTAGGCTAGACATGTATCATGTGTATGTGACAAAAACTGAGCAACATCAATCAATCAATCAATCTCCATAGTTAAGGGATCACAGTTAGTCTCTAAGACGAATCTTGCATCTCAGACTGGGGTATAGATGTTTTTGAGCAGAGTTTCTCAAACATATTTTCAGATTCAATTATTGTCTAGTGCGCCTTATAACTATTACTTTAATAAAATGTGTATGAATAAAGCTTTCTATTTATGAATACCCTAAAAAAATAATAATTGTAATAAGAACTCGGAGAATAAAGCTTAGTATACCTTATTGAAACAAGCAAAAATTCGCTTCAAGACAAATAGTTATGTCAAATGTCGTAAAATAAAACAACTAACATAAATATCATTTCTTTTATATTTTTCACAAAAATACTCTAGTTTCCCTTTGTTTTTTACTTTCTGTCTTTATTTTTTGCGCCTAGAACAAAAATTAAAGTGCAGGCAACATCGTACATACTCGTTATCTTTATACATCTTATACCCTGTAACCATTGAAGGTAGATGAATAAAAGTTTAATTGTTGTGCAGGCGAATCCATCAAATAAATATATATTCGGAGAGCTAGAGACTTTCAATCGCAGGTGAATCGTGATGTTTTTCCCCAATCGATAAGTATCGATTCTCATTTTTTTATTTTTATTTTTTTTTCTTGGAATTTGAGGGAACAATATTAATGTTGTTATGTAGACTTTTGCTTGCTTTACATAGCTCGAGGGTATTTGTTTTTTTTGGATAGTTTTCGCCGGCATAACCAAAATTCAAAAGTGTGGCGCTGAGGGAAGAAGAAAAAGAAGCTGGGTACAGAGTATCTCCAAGTCGACACTCTCACTTGTTTTTCTTGTGGTCTGTTCTTTTTTTTTTTGGTTTTTGTTTTATTTGTTCTGGCAGGCTTAAATGCGGTTTTGTGTGTTTCATTATAATAATGATTATTGTTATATCTCATTTTTTATGGTCGTCTTGTTGTTGTTGTTGCTTGGGCAAAGCTTTTAACATTTATTATGCAGCCGTTTGTCCCCAGCGTCTGCTTCTGAGTCTGAGTCTTTCCAGCGAACCGGGCACATCTTCGGCTTAAATGTCAAGCTCATGCTGGGAGCCACCATTCACCCAGTCAACCAGTTGGCCAGTTAGCCAAGTTAGCCAGTTGGCCGAGTCTTGTAGGTGCTTCTCTCTCTCTCTCTCTCTCTCTCTCTCTCTCTGTCGCTCTCTCGCTCTTGCTTGCTCGCTTTTTGTCTCCTTCGCTGGCGCTCTCTTTTGCTAATGACATTCTGTTTGCTCTTTCGTTGCAGGTACAATCTGCATGCGGCCAACTAACTGTAAAACGCGCCGTGCAACGGTCAGCAACAAATAGCACAACAGCATCAGCAGCAACAACCTGTAACGACAGCAACAACAGCGACAACAGCAACACACTTGAGAATTGCATAAAATTGAAATTAGATATTGGCGGCGCATCAAATTACCAAATGCTGTTGCTGTTGCCAGAACTATGGCAACGACAAAAATCATGGCAACAACAACAACCACAACAGCAACAGCAGCAGCAGCAGCAGCTGCGATTGGCAGCATGCAGCAGCAGCAGCAGCAGCAAAGGCCGTTGCGCGGTATTTCAATAATAATTGAATCTGAGCAACCAGCTAAGCCGGCAGGCAACAACATTGAAGGCGACGAAATGTCGCTCAAGTCGCAGACAATGTTGTTGGCATTTGGCGACAATAGCAGCAGCAGCAGCAGCAACAACAACAATGATAGCAGCAGCAATAACGATCAAGACAACAATTTGCAGACGCCGCAGGTTGACCATGCAAGCCATGTTGTTTTGGAAACTAGTTGCAACACGGTGGAAGCAACAACAGCTGCAGCAACAAACGAGCCAGCAACTAAATTATATCCACAGCTGCTGCTGCGCATTGGCCAGGCCGAGGCCGAGGTTAACTCTGTGCCTGTTGCTGATGCTGTTGCTGTAGAAATGGCGCCAGCAGCAGCAACTATTATCAGCTGCAATGTTGCCGATGACGTTAGAAACGTGTTACGAGCTGCAGCCACAGCTGAGCTTGAAGCTATTCAAATTGAAGAGAGCGCTCTCCACGGCAACGGCAACGGCAACGGCAACGGCGACGACGACGCTAGTCAGTTAACGTTAGGTGCAGTGACCGAAACAGTTGGCGTCTGTGCGCCACAGCACACGGTCAAGATACAGATAGCCAACGGTCAGAGCTCGTATTCAAGTCAAAGCCAGCCCAGGCTCGGCAAACAGATAAGCGTGGTAAAACTGAACGACAGCCAAAGCGACAGCGACATGGTATTACATTTAAAGCAACAGCAGCAGCAGCAGGAGGAGCAACAGCAACAGCAGCAATTGCTACAATTGCAGCTGCAGCAGCAACAGCATTCGCAAACGGAGGCACAGCCACCCACAGCGCCCTATCAGCTATGCTATTTGGTGTCCAGTGGCCAGTACTCGCCCTGCGAGACTCTAGACAGCGGCACTGGCAGCGATCTGGAGAGCATCAAGTCGCCCAGCAGCAACAGCAACAGCAGTAACATTGGCAACAGCAACAGCAACATTAACAACAGCAACAGCAACATTGGCAGCAGCGGCGTGCCCAAGCTGGAGCTGCATCTGAAGACGACGCGCATCCGAGTGAATACGCCGAGCGGGCAATCCGGAACGCACTCGCGCGCCTACAGCTTGACGGACAGCGAGGAGTGTGACGAGAGCAGCTCCTCGCTGAGCTGCGATTCGCTGCACTCCAATGAGGCGGCGCCGATACTTAAATTGGGCGCCCTTTTGCCCAGTTCGCTGCTGCGCGATATACGCGGCAGGGAGGTGGCCAGGGAGGGGCAGATGGAACAGTCTTCGACGGCGACCAAAATCGATGGACGTCCTCTACAATATGAGGCAGATCAATATTACAATTTTCATGTCAACGAGCATGCAAATTATCGTAGTTTCGGTCCGGAGAGCTGCAGTCGTATGTCGCCGGAATACGAGGCGTACTGTTTGCCAGGCGAAGCCGAGGACCAGGATGAGGATGCTTTTGCCGGCTACAAGGATGTGCGCCGCTCCTCACAAACATCCACAATACGCTCCTCCAAGGGCACCGTGCGCGGCGTCAAGAATCGTGTGCGCAATGGAGTAGCCACCTTCTTGCAGTTGCAGCAGCCGAATGTCAAGGTGAGTGCCAGCTGGTTACGTTTGTGTTTAAGTGCGAGTACTCAAAAGTACTGGTTAATTATACATTGAGTACTTAAACTCATGTTAGAGTGCAACAATACTACACAAGCTCAAGAGTCACGTTTCGAGCTGCTTATTGAGAGATCATCGATTTGCTGGCTCGTTCAAGTCGAATGACAGTTTTATTTATTGGTATATTCCCCTTAAGTTTCGGTTGCTTGTTTCATATTTCTGAAATTTTGATCACAATTTAAATTAAATTCTTGAATTAATTGCTCATTTTATTATATGTTCAGTTAATTTCTTTTATTGCTTAGGAACTTAGTTTACAATTTTAATTGTGCCTTACCTGAATCCCAAACTAAGATAAACTCCAATCAGAAGATGAGGAAATCACAATCTTTTATTATTAATTCGTTGATTTGCATGTTTCTTAAGAATTCAGATTGCTTGATATTTATTTCAATTTCTGAAATTCAACCTCAACAGGAACTATTTGAGGCTCCGTTGCAATGGCTTTCCTTGAAGTTCAGGCCTAGTTCCATTATATTTTTTTTATTAATTTATTGTGTTCTCAAAAAAACAAAATATTTGCTTGTTTTCGGGAAACAAGAATATAATAAAATATAATTCGATTAATTAATTGGCCCGAAGACTTAATGTGCTTACGTATAAAATTGATTATTATCGATCGATTCCTGGAATTAATTAATGACTATTTGCTTTTAGCTATAGAGCATAACCACATTCCAGAGCTCGGAAACTAAGGATCCTCTTGGTGTAGCATACTTTTAAGAACTCTCTGGCCATTTGAGAAAATTGAATTGAGAATGCGTGCACATTGCATAATGCCTATAAAATCACTTTGAATCGAGAATAAGCCATGAATGAGTGCATTCACATGCAGCGGTTAATCAAAATATTCGAAAAAAAAAAAACAAAAAGAAGAGTGGGTATTTTGTTGTTGTCTTTGCTTCATGAGATTCATTGAGAAAGTTGGCTTTGTGTGTTTAACTTTTGTCTGCGGCTGTCAGTGAGTTGCGTGGGTGTCTGTTTGGGTCGCTGACTTCCCCCCCACACACACGCACACACGCACACACGCACACACACGCATACACACACATTATGCAATGCATGTGTGTGTTAGTGTGTGTGCGCGCGCGTGTGTCTGCTGCTGGAAATCTTCAGTCTGCAGTCTTCAATTAACAGTCTACACCCCCAGATTGACTCACGTTTTGGGCTATGTGAAAGCCAAGCTTGTCCAGATGTTGTTATTGTTTCTGTTTCTGTTTCTGTTGCTGTTTATTGCCTGTTGTTGTTGTTGTTATTTTCAAAACTGATTCATAGCAACAACAACAGCTCACTGAAAGTATGACCAACTAATAAATCATTCGATGCGTTCACCGAAATTTGTTCGTCGGGACTTAAATCAAAAAATTAACACTCTGCTGTCTATTTACAGAACGTGTTGTTGTTGTTGTTGTTGTTTTAATTTACCGTTAAGTGGCTTAATATGCTGCCCCGCCACAGAAAGCCTTTCGGGGCAACTCCAATATGGCATCGAATCAGAATTTCCATAAACACGCGCGAGACGGAGCTCCAAAAGTTGGGAAAGTTTTTGGTGTCGCCCGCTTTTGGGTTTGGCGGAAGTAGATGGCTCAAGTTGTAGATAAAACGACGCGATAAATGCTAGCTTAGATGCCCCTCCCCCCCTCGCCCCCTTGGGACTGACTAAGTGCAGTTACTAAGTTGTAGTAGTTACTTTTGATTTCTATTTGGCTTTCTTTCGGCTGCTTCGGCTATCGCGAAAGTTCTCAATCAGGGTCAGCTGTGGCCCTGGCACGCTTCCATCGACGGTCTGACCCATTTTTTGGCTTGAAAGCCGATGATTGAGCAACAGCCAGAGCATTAAACAATAAGCAGCCCCAATTGCAGTGTTATTGAAATTGCATTATTTACGCATTGCCCACAAACTGTCGAGTCATCGACAAAATAGTAGACACACACAGATACATATGTATCTTGATGACTTTGTATCTTTTGGTTTGTATCTGTAACGATGATTCGCTCATTTGGCCAATGCTGTTATCGCTTGTTCGTTGTTGTTGTTGTTGTTGTAGTTTATTTTTTTTTTGTGGTTTGCGAAATCAATTACATACACGTGTGGTACAGGGTGTCGTTCTTGGTTTATCTAAGCATAATTTGTAAATTACCTGCAAAAATGAATATAGAAAAATTGTAACCACAACTAAATTGTGATAGTTATCTATGTGGGCGTGGCACACACTCATTATGCTAGCTTTCATTTTTATATGATTTCGTCAATGAGCAAAGCCAAAATTCGGCTAAACGGCCTAAGCGGCCGAGACACGCACAACAACATACATACTTAAACGAAAAACAGAAGAAAATTTTAAATATAAACGTAAATTATCTAAATTATGTTTTAATGGCCGCTCCACTCGTTTCAACTCGTTTTCGCAGTTGACTTGTCCATCGAAAGACAAAAGCGCCCAAATTCGACGGGTTTTTGTAACCTCATCTGCTTCCCCCCTCCCCACCACCCTTTTTAGGTCCATCGAATAAAAAATATATGTTTGACTTTTTGTAGATGCGCATAATTAGCGCGCTAGCCGCTCTTTATCATTATAATACATATTTGTTTGCTTTTGGCTTTTGGTTTTTGGCTTTTGGTTTTTGGTTTCTTGAAAATTATGCAATCGATTGTTTCAACAATCCCCCTCAGTCTACACAGTTTCCAATAATTATAATATTGATTTGCTCTTCAAGGCCAACAACGCCAATTCGACGTTATTATTTATGTGCAGGTGCCATAAGTGTTTCACAGATTAACGTCCATTCAAAAATGTTTAGTATTCGCTTATTTTTTATTTTAGCATAAGCATAATGGATAGACATATGTGTATGTGTATATATCTGAATTATGACTAGCTTTATATGATCAGCAAAAGTTCCTTATTATATTGAGACAGCATTTTTTAAGATTTGCCTGCCAAGTCGCGATTTTATTTGCTGTTAAATAAATATTTATTGCGTCTTGGAACCACACTCAAACTAAATCTTTATATATACATATATATATTTGTTCAAATCCTTGTATTTGGGCATTTTTAACTAAAGTTTAAGTTAAAGCCATACTTCGTATTAAGTGAAGACTAATTGGTTCTTAATGTAAATAGGGCTTAAATTTTCATCTAGTTTATATTTCATCAAGTTATTATATCCATATTACATAAATGGAATCGATTCTTGAATCAAGTACTAAAAATACATGAAATTTATAAAAATATACAATAGAATTTACAAATTAAAGCGGCTTTTCAATTGCCTAAATCTGCTTTCATAGAAAATAAAAAACGTTAAGCCTACTTTAAAATATGATTGGATTAGTCTAAATTGCAAATCATATATTTAACAGGAGGATAGAATTGCAATGTGGCTTGTAAATAAACAGTTGAGCGATTCATATATAAACATCGACAGTGCTGTAAATCGAGCGACAAGAGTATTAGAAAACCGAAGACTATCAAATTGTTGATAGGTGAAAATTTCTTGTCAACTTTCATCAAGCTTACCTGAAAGCTTAAATGAAAGAATACGCCTCACATGGGCCATTTTTAGGCGTAACAACACGCCTCCATCATTATAGAGATTTCTCACGTTTTCACAAAAAAAAAAAAAAAAAAAAAAATCCCAGATATCTTATGACCTCAACTAAATAATAATATTGAGAAAACTTTCGTCTTTGATTGCCCGTGAAAATGCACTCGCAGCTGTCTTTTTGTCGCTCTGCCTCTCCGATTTGGGACCAATCGCTCTGCCAAATTGCGAAGTGAAGTCATCATTTTAATGCCATCAATTAAGAAACAAAAAAAAAATATGCACAAAATATATACGTAATTTGATCATTTTTAGCAAATGTCGCTAAACTCAAAAAACTCAAATGAACTAAAACCAAATGCAAATGATGCCGGGCCGCACGCTAAGAAATAAAAAGCAAACCGAGCTCGTTAAGAAACAATTTGGTATTTGTGAAAAAATATATGCAAATGAATAAGAGACCAAAAAACAAAAAAAAAAAAAACCATAAAAAACAATGCATATTTCTATTCGACGGGGGTGGGGTCTGGAGAAAAAAAATACCAAACGCAAAACAAACTTTGAATTCGAACGAAAGTGAAAACGAAAACGAATTTTACGTGACCAGGCGCAGATTTATGGTGCTGAGAGATTTTTACAGCCACAATCCACAAGCCGAGGCGCCTCCACATTGTTTCACAAAATACAAATTGTTGCCATACAATTAAACAACAGCAACAACAACAACAACAACAACAACAACAACAACAACAACAACAACAGCAACTACAACGGCGACAAGAGCAAGAGCAACTGTTGGGCATGGGGCGTTAGCTGCATTTCAATTTCGATTTGCATTCAGGGCCAAAAGAAAGTAGCAAATGGGCTTATTAAAATATCCAATTATTGCCAAATTGATGCTCGCTTTTGGCCGCCGTAACGAAAGTGAAATGTTTCACTTAACATATGTGTGTGTGTGTGCGTGTGTGTGTGTGTGTGTGTGTCGACGTGTGTGAATTTTAATGCTAAGCCAGCTCGCACCTGCAGCTCAGCCAAAGACTTAAACTGAAATTCAATACCTACCTCCCCCCTCTACTTCCTCCCTCAACTCAAAAAGGCCAACTGAAATTGAAACCGAAGCTTGTTACCACACCGAGAGCCATGAGAACCGTCAACAAGCCGAGGCCGAATGTTGATGATGCGATGCCGCCCTTTAATGCACTTTAATATAAAGGGTATAGCATCGCGTGGTCACGTTTTCAAAATTCGATATGCAATTTATTTGTCAAGGCTGTAAACCTGTTCTGAACCAATATTTTGTTTCAGCTTTCAGCCGAACCTTAAACCGATTTAGTTGGATTAAAAACAGTTGGGCCCAAATCTGAACCAAACGGCCTTTTTTAACTTTCTTTTTTTAAGTTTAGAATTGAAAACTTGAATATATTTAACGGCACTGCTTCATTTCATACTAGATAAAGGTTCACAAATCGAATCGAACCAAACCGATTCTAAGAACATTGCCATGAACCGAACCAGCGAACACTTGTGTCATACTTTGAGCATAGCTAACTTCCAATGGTTGTCAATTGTAAGATTCCATAAGTTCATTTTAAATTGATTGAGTTAGTTCATTGAATGACACATTCAGTTCCTAAATGCGGCACCTTTGTTGTTTATTATTAAAGCTCTTTGGAAACTGGTCACAGCGCAAAAGATTAAACATTTAAATTGTAAAGGTTTCTCTCTTCATTATATTCTTCGAATAATATACGAAATGTCTACATTTTCGGTTCTGTTCGTGAGTCAGTTTTTGGAACTTTTTATATCATATTAAAGATGCGCTCTAAACCAAACTGTCTTCCAAAGGGCTCGGTTCATAGTAAAGAATAAATCGCAATTCCGGGTTCAACTCGGTTCAAAATAGGCTTGCCAGATAATCTATAATACTTCATGCTAGAATTAATGATAGCAATCATTTCAAGCGCAAAATATATATATTTCTTTTACTTTGACCTAATTCTGTATTTGATGGCAACCTACTACTCCGGCGTTGGCCTTAATGGAAGGGAATCGATAAAAGTTATCGATACCAATTAATCAAATGCCAGCTGAAAGTTAGCTAGATATATTTTGGCTATTTTTTAGACATCAGGTGCGCTTGTCCACTGAATTGTGAAAACTTGTTTATAATATTGTTGTACAAGATTTGCTAATTTCGAATTCTTTTGATGACTTTTTTGTTTTTGTTTTTGTTTATTGTTGTTGTTGTTGTTGTAAGCCTAAAAGGTATTTGAGCGTTTGGTGTTGTTTGTTGCCGCCGCTCGGCTTTCCCTTCTGCCGGCCACGGGCCGCCGTTCCCAGGTGCCCAATTGATCGGAATCGGCGCACTTGGGCACGCCCCGGGTGAGACGCATTCGCTTACATAATGTCCAGCCCCATGTGACGTATTAATTGAACTTTATGGAACCACGCGTCGAGTCGTGTGAACGTTGCTGTTGCAGTTGCAGTTGCTGTTGCTGCAGTTGTTGTCGCTGAAGACAACTCCTTTTGCTCACATAACCGAATGCTGTTGGGTCTGAGATGCTGGGCTGGTTGCTATGCTATGTTTCCCGACGCATATCGCGACGCGATTGGCAATCCTCCAATCGACGCTTGTCGATCGCAAGTGACCTGCTTTCTCTTTTTTGTTTTTTTTTTTTTTTTTTTTTATTTTTACCCACTAGCCTTACCTGTTGCCGCTAAAACATAAAATAAATTGTAATGTTGGCTGTGGTTGTGGCTGTGGCTGTGGCTTTGGCTTTGGCATATTCGGATGTGGCCTGTCGACGATTCTGCAGAAGCATGTGTTAATTGTGGATGCTGGACAGTGACAGCTCGGACAGTGGATCACAGTTCAAATGCGCTCGTTCAAACAGGGGTTGAAGGGGAACTCCTACTCGGCGCTCACTAAAAGCTAAACGAGTTTTCGGCTAAAAACATTTTCGCCGCTGGCGTCTTTTGTCACTTAACATGGCTTTGAACTTTGCTGTTAGAGGCATCCACATCCACATCCATGTTCACATCACAAATGACGCTTAATGGCAATTATTAATGTACCAGTTTTATATATATATCTTTTTATACTCGTGTTGCTTAGCATAACGTTAAGTATGCCATATTACCTGTAAATAACAAGCCTTTGCTACAGCATCAGCCTCTTGGCTTATGAGCCAATGAGCTGTCCGGCCAGTTGGATAAAGATGCCACAACTTGGAACAGGTGCACAGCATTAAGACAGACACCTTTATCGCTTATACCCAGCGTCCGACTTCCATATTGGACATTAGAAATTTGATATAAATATTCTCTTATATCATACGAAGAACAAGCTCATCATTTTATGGTCCCGCTGTGAACCCATATTATCCAATTTCATTTGTTGAGCATAACCGAGTACGTTCACACAGATTGACACGTAATGCATGAGTTATTCTATTTACTTATAATATAATAATAAAGTTGCGTAAAGAAAGGTTCGATTACATTATTGTTCTACTTTTAATTAACGACATAACTTTGGCTGCTCAATCTATTTCTTATTATGATTGCAAGTTGATATCTTTACGATTGTATAATTTATTGCGTTATGACAAACTCTTTTTTCATTTGAGTGCAATCAGCAATATAAGCTGATACGCAAGAAAAAGTTATATAATAATGAAAAGAATCATATTTATTTGACATGCACCTCATTCTACTTGTTCAGCGACAAGAAAATTGAAACTGGCAAAATATTGCGTAATTGAGTACATCTAATTAAAATATCAATTTCGTGAAAGTATCAAATGATGCAAAAAGAAAAACTCGATTAATTCGAAGTGTTCAGACTTACGAATATACTAGGGACAATAAGTGCTATGGCATTAAACCTTTACTTTAAAAACATTTCTTATTCTTAATATTAAGTCAATTTTTTATTTTATTAACCATGTTGAGCTCATTTTAAGGGCTGCTTGATAGCCAGACAATAGTAGTAAGATCTGTGTAAAATACCGAGCCAGCTAAATGGATTGATGTCAATTATTTCATATGATTGCAAGACTTTGTTTTACAAGACATGTGTAGTCCATGCACACTGTGTAAGAAATGTCTATTACATTTTATTATGTCATTTATTATGAGCATAACTCATAAGCTTTTGACAGCTACTGTCACTGGCGGAGCGATGCAGAGTTCAACGATATCTATCGGATGATCGATAGCGATAGGCGGTCTGATCTGGTTAATCAGATTGCCAACTTGGCCAGCTAACGGTATACAGGCAGCGCACTGCTGCCAATTAATTTGGCGCGAAAACAAGTTGCAATCGCAGTTCGTACACACACACACACACACACAGACACACACCCAAATGGAAATAGGCAGGAAAATGTGCGGCTAGTGCATTGTTGGCAGTTTTCACTTAGCGCATTTTTCAAATTCGCAGCGCCTGTAAATGTCGTTAAGTCATTTTAAATGCCATTTACACAAATTGGCTATGCGTAATTTCCAATTGGTTTTTCATTTCATTTTGATTGCCGTATTTATCTGTGTGCAGTCAGTCGCAGTTACGTTCGCATTCGCTTTGGCCTAGCCGGGTTGCCTTTGTTTATGTGTTCCGCCCAATTGAATAATCGAGAGCATAAATAATTTACAAGTTCGATTATGAGCTAGAGATCTACGCCTGGCTGTACATTTTTAACTGCCTTAATTAGTTCATAATTTACGTTGTTTTATTTTTAACCTTCTCTCCAATTAGGCAATTAACGCCAAGCTGCAAATTGCTTTAGCTCGAATTGGGGCTGCGTTATGTGCTACGCATATGAATGAGAAGCGCAAAGAAAGGCGCAACTGCATGGAGCCTAAAAATAGTATGCACAGTTTATTAGATGTGTTTAATTGTCCGTCTTTTTGTAGAGCTTTTAACAATCAGACTATTGGGTGGAACACTATTTTCAAGCAAATCGTTAAGCTGCCATACCTTTTGTAAGAACTTCTTCAAGGCACTTCTTTATACAGATTCGGAAATTCGAACATACTCATCACATATTTTGATTGTTTTTGTGTTTCGGTCTTTTTAGCACCTGAACTTGGATTTAACTCGAAAGAATTTCAAGGTTCAAGCCACTAAACCAAATCGTATGTACTCTAATACCTAAGAAAAAGGCAATCTTTGTGGTTGAACACTCATAAGCAGCAAGAAAAAGATCGAAAATTGTATGCTTAAATCAAGTAATTCCGTTCTTAAAAGTACATTAAGACCAACTTTAATTTATTCGCGTATGAAATACTTATTTCAAGAATGACACTATGTGACCGAAAAAACGTGAATGCAGTCAAGCTTAGCCTGAAAACTTAATTCAACAACTTTTAATTTTAGCGTCGTCTTACTCGTTTCAGCGCTTGCTGTTTTGCCCCACTGTGCGTTGGGTTTGTTATTGACATTTTTCAAGCCCGAGCATAACAAACAATCTTGAGTTGACTTTGAGTTTTCACAAATATTTCTCTTGTTCAAATTGCTATCCCAATTAGCAAATAGTTTTGTATTTGTATCTAATAATTTAATGCTTTATACATACATATATCGAAATCTGTGTCGGCTTTTGCTTTTGTTGAAGGTGGCCTTGCGAGACCGTAGTATGCCTTTATATGCTTGTATGGAAACGAGTTATACTAAAGTATTTATTCCGATTTATCACCTGAACTAGAACTACATGGAGAAGGATCTGGGCAAGGTAGTACTGTACACAACCAGCATGGGCATCATACGGGATACCTATGCCAAGTGCGCCAATGTCAAGCAGATATTGCGTACACTGCTCGTCAAGTTTGAGGAACGGGATGTATTCATGAGCATCGAGTATCAGCAGGAGATGCGGGATCGCATGCACCATGAAACGATCCGGGTGCCGCAGCTATTCGTTGAGGGCCAGCACATTGGCGTAAGTATCTGACAGATACTCTTTAATAAAAGATACAAGTCGAATTGAGATATTGCATTTTCTGCAGGATGCCGACACGGTTGAGCGTCTGAACGAGAGCGGCGAGCTGCGCCAACTACTGCGACCTTATAAGGTGAGCCAAGACTGGTTTAGCTTCAATTTGTCATCTGTTATCTGTAATCTAAAACTGATTCCTTGATATCTATTTAGTCGCTGGCAACGGCGTACACCTGCCAGACCTGCGGAGGCTTTCGATTGCTGCCCTGCCCCTCGTGCAATGGCTCCAAGAAGTCGGTCCATCGAAACCACTTTACCGCCGAATTCGTGGCCCTCAAGTGCATGAACTGCGATGAGGTTGGCTTGGTCAAGTGCCCGACATGCTAGAGTTCCCCTTCCCATTCCCCCCCCCTCCCCTTCCAACTGGCCGCCGAAGCTGATTAAATTGGATTTATTCACTCGCGTACCATTTTGTTTCGTTTCTAGTAATAATGCGTATTTACCCAAGAAGTGTGTGCTTTTTTTTTCAAATTTTTTTTTTTTTTTTTTTTTATATATGTATATGTATGTATTTTGTATATCTACTTATGCTACGAAGTGCAAATGTTGTCGTTTGTTATTAACAGTTGTGATATTTGAGTCAGTTGGCTGCAAGTCTCGCATTTGGGACTTGGGAACAGCTCCAGAGCTGGCGATGTCCCTGGGATAGTTGTGCGAAGAACTGCAGAATATATATACATATATGTATATATGTATTTATATACATAGTTTCTTATGTAAATCAAAGACAAAAATATATAAATAAAAATAACTTAAGAACTTATATGGTGTTCACCAAATACTTATTGTGTTGATGGAAAAGACACATTTCTAAAAGGATTGCTGGTATTTCAAGGGAACTTGGTTAGTTACAGAAAACAAAACGCCTCAAAAATCTTTGAAAATAACTAAAAATTATAACTATAGATACATAGACATTTAACTATAGATATAGGAGATAGTTACAAGCACTCGCTGCTACAGCTGTAGCTGCATTCATGTAGCGGGGATTCGAACCGGCATGCTCTTCGCTTGAATGTTCGGGTCACATCAACGGCACATGGGGAGATCTAAGGTGCAGAAAGATTACGGAGCTATTTTGCTGGTAACAAACTGATTTTCGCAAGACGGATTGGATTCCATAACGCCAGACAGGAGCTATGTAGCTACTTGGTAAAAGGTTGGGATGGCATCGAAGTTTACCCTGAAGCGTGTTGATGGAAACTCTCTAGGTCCACTTAAGAACCCTATCGCGTGTGTACTACGATATGGGACTTGCCTGCAATTGATGGTGCGCTTGCGCAAGCAGACAACATTTGAAAAAGTTTATTGCATGCTTTTGGGCTGAGCAAAAATATGTAATGCGACGAAGCAGAGTAAGAAATCGTGCTTTGCTAAGCTCCCTTAAATTTAAAAGCTTAGATAAGTTACCAAATGTGGGGTTTTAAGAAAAGCACCAAAAACTCTGCGATCAATTGAAAAGCCAGTGCTGCTTATATGTTTATTAGTCTGACCAACACGCGACAGGTCGCCGGCTCTAATTCACTGGCAATTATGCATTTTAAAATTTGTTGTTAAATAAAAAAAAGTGACAGCATCTAATTGACAAATTAAAGGCATTTAACAAAATAACAATGCTTAACATTTTTCTTTTGTTATTTTCATATTTTCTAAAATGCTGGAAAATAAACTCTAGATCGCGTAGTGGGCCAAGCATCTGAGCATGAGTTAAGGGCCTAAACTCCCGGAAAAAAAACATATTTTAAATAAGAAAATGGCTGGCTTTTTTGATTTAGCACATAGCTAATATTAGAATAAATCTGTTTTGTCTGAAGTTGACGCGCTTTACAAAAACAATTCCGTTGAGAATTCCTATTCAAAATAGTTCATTTGACCTACGAATAGGCACAATTTATATATGTCTTTCATATATATGTTATATCTTATTAATAATAATATATATATACATTTGTACATTTTCATTTATTTACAAAATATATAAATATATTCCATTCAGCGAGCAATTTTTTGATAAAATGTGTTGCATACCTTCGGGCTGATATTTAAATTAGACAGTCTGTCTATTGATGCCGAACAGTTGGTGTATTTAAGAGGCAACATATCTTAAGTTTGGAAAATGCAAATGCACATATTGCGGAAGAAACAAATACTATTAGGGAACAATGCAGCCTCAAATGTGCTACTGGAAATATGTATTTTGATGACGAATTGCTGTCTTAGGTTCCCCCATGAAACTATTTTTTTTTCGAAGTGAAACGCTTCATTTTCGGTTTTTTTCTTCTCTTGTATTATGGTTCGCGCCTGGTTTAGTTTTGGTTTTTGGTCAACTAAAACGGCTTAAAGGTTGTTTCGTTGTCAAAAAAAAAATCAAAAAATTCCGGGCTCAAAGTGATTCCGTTAAAGCCCAGCTTGAAGCCTTGATTTTGATATGTATATTTAAAAGTCAAGAAGCGCTCCAGTCGAGTCAGGCGACAGTTTAAGAAGACAACTCTGGGAACTGGGCATTTAATAGATAACCTCGAGCTCGTATCAATGGTAAGGAAAAGGCGTAGGGTTGCCTTTGTGCCGTAAAAAATGTATTTCACCCGTTTCGTTAGTTCACAAAACTTTGAATCGTGTGATTTATTAGGGTTTTCAAATGCTTAAAAAAATACTATGAAAATTGTGTTAATTGATAGTGAATCGCAGTTGTTCTTGGATTTGTTGGGATTGCGTAGTGCTTCTGCTGGGTCAACAGCTGCTTGATTTGTGTAGGGTGTAGGGAATATGGCGTGAGTATTATTTAATTTAGAGCGGCTGCTGAAAAACATCGCACGCCTTGCCGAAAATTTTAATCTCTCTATTTTTCTAACTCTTAAATATTTATATTTTATTCTGCCTGGTAATCGCAATCGTTTCGGGGCTGATTGGTTAATTGACATGACTGGTCAAGGGCTTGTTCCAGAGCTTGGCGGGGAGCCAGAGTCATTAGCGCGAGAGTCGGAGCGCACCTGCTGGATATGCTTTGCGACTGAGGCGGAAAACCGTCTGGCCACCTGGTTGCATCCGTGCCAGTGCCGCGGCAGCACCAAGTGGGTGCATGAGAGCTGTCTTTATCGCTGGATCGACGAGAAGCAGAACGGAAACTCGCGAACGAAGGTATCCTGCATGCAATGCCGCGTGGAGTACATCATAATCTTCCCCAAGGTCAGCCGTATGGCGATGATCCTGGAGCGCTTTCAGGATCTAGTCCGCCAGTGCAGCCCGTTTGTTGCTGCGAGCGCATTCCTCGGTTCCGTCTATTGGACAGCCGTCACATATGGCGGCATCACGGTCATACAAGTGTTCGGCCAGCAGCGCGGCATGGAGCTGATGGAAAAGGGTGATCCCTTTTTCCTGCTGATCGGGCTGCCGTTCATACCAGTCGCTCTGATCCTCACCCGTCTCATCCGCTGGGAGGACGCAGTTCTACGCCTCTGGCACAATCGTCACAGCATAGTACGCAAATTGCCGCTCGTTAACTGGTTGTTGAATGCCCGAACGAATCCGGCGACCCGTGTTGGGGATCCGGCTCCGCCGCCAGTACCCGATGAGCCCGTCGACTTTGCCCGCATCTTTTGCGGCGCCATCCTATTGCCCAGCATTGCGACAGTAATGGGCAATGTCATATACAGGAACATGTCAGCGCCGCTGTATCGCACGCTGCTCGGCGGCCTCACATTCATCGGATTGAAGGGCATTCTCAAGATCTATTTGCGACAGAAACAATATCTGAACAAGACACGCCGTCACATCGTCGACTATACTGAGGAGAATGTGCGCACCTATATGCCAGCCGGGCAGTCCCGATCTCAGGCAGATATGCGACAATATGCCGGTTCCGACGACAATGATTCTGAACCCGATGAGGAGAATGTGGATGATGAGGTTGTGAATGAGGATGCGACCACAACATCGGAGCTAGATGATTCCGATTCCGATGATGTTAGAGATCATGTTGTTATAAGCGTGCCAGACCGTCCATACACATTGTTTCTTAGCTAAATTGAAGCATGGTTCTAACCAGACCAGGCAGCGGAATGCCTCCAATCACAAAACTTAGTGTTCATGCATGGAAATTCCAAAGGGATATCACAATCTAAATTCTTTTGTGTTTTAATTACATAGTTTTGCTGCACTTATCCTAAACCACAAAAAGTTCAAAGTTGCTCTCTCTCTCTCCCCCTCTAACACACCTTTCCTCTCGCTCTCTCGCATTCTCTCTCTTTCTATATCAATCCTTGGAACCGCGCACAGAAGAACAAGTCTTTAGTCCCAAAAAGTGATAGGGCTTTTCAGCCCATAGAACTATAGGCTTTTAGCTTTATTTTAGATTTAAGGTCCACTCTTATATTGCAATCTTTAATTCACAAGCTTGTCTTATACTACAAGTATTACACGACAGTTAAAATGGAAAGTTAAATCCGATCGCGATCCGTCATAAGCCCATATTCCAGAGAATTGAACTTGGGAATGGGAATGCTATGTAACTTGTAGATTTCAGATGCCGTTATGCAGTCAATTTTATGATTCAACTTCTGGTGTAAGAAAATGTCGTCTACAGATTTCTTTGTTGTGATCTTAGCTGTCTCCAGCTTTGAGCCTGTGAACTCGTTGTTCATGGTTCTTAACATATCCTTATACATACCATAATTATTAATATTTTTTAGTATTTTAATATATAGTTCTTTGATGAAATTCGGGAAAATGTGAAAACAAAATGTGTTGATTTTGGCGTTAGGAAAATATAATTTTCAAGGCCCACTTAAATATTAGAACCTAACACCTTTGGAATGGAAAATCCATATGAAAATACTAAGCGAACTAAAATACCTTAGGCGGAAATGAGCAGATGCTCAGCAGCAATTGCGTAGCTACCTTTAAATTGAAATTGAAATTAATATGTAGCATACTTATTGGAGCACACTTAAATGGATGATCAGCTACTTATTAAACGGATGAGTTAGTAAGCGATCAAAATAGAGCTGGACTTAAAGGAGTTATATAAAAGTATAAATAAAAAATTAATTGAAGAAAAAATAATTATGCGTGTATTATTCCTTAAGAGAGATAAAGTCCTAATATCGCTGGACCAAAAAAAAAAAATAAAATTAAATTTAAAAAAATATTATTATTATTATTATACCCTGAACCCATTAAAAATGGGTATCCCCTAGTCGGGAGCTCCCGACTAGAACCTCTTACTTGTTTTTTGTTGTCTGCCTGTCAGATGTTGGCTTCTTAGGGGAAGAGGTATTGAGTTTTGTTGTTGGCACACTTTTGTTACCTTTGCCCAAATATATATTTATTATAAATATAAATATATATATGTAAATAAGTATAATAATTAATGGTATCTTATAGAAAACAATACAAGCATTTCCTTCTTTTGTTTTTTTAATATAGGAAACCAAATACTTAGCTTCAGCTTGATATATTTATTTGCTCAACTTTTTGGATGTCAAGGTGCCTTGGATAATTAAGTCGTAGTAGCCGTCGAGATGTCAGAACTGGGATTATATCATTATCACAGAGCAAGTCTAACAATTCGGTCGACATATTGAGAGAAAAGTACATAAAATTCAATATTTGTGAATTTTCTCTTAAATTTTATTAAAATTCACTTTGTGAGGCCTTTCGTTGTACAAAATTTATAAATTTATCAATTCGTTGCGCTTTTTGGCTTTACTAAGCTTTATTCAATTAACAAGTTAACGCAAAAATGTCGGACAATTCGGCGGTCTCCGGTATACTAAATGCGGTGCTGTGCGGCGTTACCGGATATGGATTCTATGCAATGCCTCCACAGAGTCATCCGTATGCTTTCTCGGCCTGTTTGATTGGCTTCTGCCATGGTCTGCTGGGGCTGATCGAGTGCATCTCTGGCAGCGAACAAGTGAAATCGGCCAGGGAGACGACCAATTCGATTCTGGAAATAGTTCCCTTGCCTCTTGTCAACATTGATATATTCTTTGGCGGCGAGAGCAACAACATTGCCCTGGGTCATGGCCTGTTCATTGTACCAATGGCCATCTCTGTGCTGGTCGGCCTGATCAAGGGTGAAGGTGGCGAGGGCGATGATGCGGTCGAGACACTCAAGCTTCTGACCATTCTGGGTAACATAACATCTCTCTGCTACCTTGCCATCAACGAGGGTAGCTATTACATGGGCGGCATGGCCTTCCTGGCGTTCATGGCCAAATATGGTTCTGAATTCCTTGAAACTCAAATCGAGGGCTCTGGGGATCCGATCAAGTACATCAGCTGGTCCGGATTCTATTTGCTAACTAGCTTTGCCATTGCCGGCAAGAAGTAATCAACCTGAATTGTTTGAGAAACGCATCACATGAAATACACAAATACTTAAAAAAAAAAAAACACGATTAGACCCAATTGAAAAAGTTGAAATGAAATTTGGATGCTTATGGACTTGCACATTACTCGGAATAGCGAAGTGATAATATGATTAATATGCGACTGCCATTTGAATTAAGTTATTAAATAATTTGAAGCGAATCTTAACTGTGGCGTCTTTTACTTTCGGAGGGGTACCTAAAGGCCCGGTCTGACTCTGTTCTACAAATCAAATGAAATCTATTAATCTATTCCTCTAAATATACGTAAGCTACATGGGAAATTCGATGTTATTAAGACATGACAATGGTTCTCAGCCTAATGAACCCCAGTGGGAACAAAATAACCACTAAGGATAAGGAGAGATAAGAATAAGGAGAGATCGGTTCTTAATCATTTTGTGGCATTTTGAAAAGACACAATATTATGATTAACATGCTTGTGTTGCTGTATACAATGCATAGAAAAGTTCAAGGGTAACAAGATTCAGAAAACAAGGTTGCAAAACTTGCCCTGGGGTTTCAAGAGATCTTGAGTGCTATGAATGTGAAAGATGCTGACCTGAAACTGTTCCTTGTTTAATATGCATAAGAGAAAGTCTTTCTCTTCCAGGCAATTTCGAATTTCCAAGTTAGCTTAGCACTGATTGACATGACATTTTGCAATATATGGCTATGGCAAATAATGGTCAGCTATGTCCTTTCCGCGGGCTATTGACAACTTTGGCTAGTTTGGCTAGCCTAATACAATGGAATACAGGGGAAATGAATAGGGCTTAGGACATTATTTATGGTATTTGATATTATTTATTTGCCTTCCATTGTTGTCTAGCATTTGCAGCAGTTTCATGCGGTAAAAACTCTAAAGACCTGAAGAGCACTTGGGGGCATCAATTTGCGCGAACTCACTCCGAATGGGTGTGAGTGCGTACGGCGGGTGTTTTGCCCAGCGCTAGCTCGTTTTTCAAGTGTATTCAAATAGCCATAATCATCTTTTTGGGCAATGTAATAAATCTAATTTCCCACAATGGGCCGGATCGATGGACTGGAAGGGTTCAATAAACGAGCCCAATATACTGTTTGGAGTCTGGAGTGGTCGCTACAATTGAGTGGCATTTGGTGTGTGCTGACCCGGATGTACGAGCACTGCCATGTAAGTACATAGCTCTTAATGTATGATGAGTGTGTACGCGTGTGTGTTAGAGCCCGTATCGATGTATATATATGGAGCACATAAAACAATGTACTCGCATGTAATGCCTATGTCTGGACTTTATCGTGGGCCAGTTAAATCAATGTCAAAAGGCAATTGGTTGACTGCAGATGACTTCATCGCACCATACTCGGGCCTCTAAGCCTTTTAGCGCATGCGAGGCTTATGGGCTTAGGTGCCACTAACTATGGAACTGGAGCTGTGCTGTAGCTCCAGTAGCTCGGGCCAAGACAAAGACGGCCAATTACTTATGATAACAGACATTTTTGTAACAACCAGTTCTTGATTTAACGTTTCGTCAGCTGCCAATCAAAGTTTGTACATAAAACGTTCGGCCAAAAAAGTCGAGTCTACCCCAACAAAACGCTGGCATGTACCAGCTTCAGCTACCAGCTCCACTTCGGCTCCATTTCCACTTCCACTTCCATTCGCCGCAACATAAGTCATAAAATCAACAATAAACAAGCTCAAGACGCAGCTAAATGACTTTACAACGACAACTTTGGGGCGTCATGGTCATTGAGCACGGTGTGTGCAGCTCCGGGCCAATGGACGTGGGGGCTGTCCGGGCTGTGCGGGTGGTTGTGCGTGCTACACGACGCGTGTTGACATTAGCTCTTAAAATTTATTAGTTTTTATTGTCATTGCGGCTAGCGTTATGGGCTTAGGTTGGGCCAAGCCTCTGGTGGGGTTAATGGGATATCGCATACAAACATTGTCAAGTCATTGCAATAGTTATCAATACATAAGTAGTACATATCACAAAATTCCACAACTTCTGCCATAACCAAAAATAATGATGAAAAAGTAACATCTCTTGCTGACCTTAACATGGCTGATGTTCAACACAGCTGCCTGAATGTATTCTTTTCGTAGATCTGATCTTCATATATAATGATGGAATGGAAGACTCTGAACGGATTACTCTGCAATCCCTATCAACACAGGGGAATCCGAACGATCTTAATATGTAGGTCTAGTTACAACATAGAAATTTCATTCATCAGATAATCAACCCGATAACCTAAGTCTATAGGAATGTGACGTTTAATCCACGGAGGTAAGCGAACAAGAATTTTTTCTCTACCTATTTAATTATTTCTTGATTTTGCATTAATTATTTTTAAGATTTATTGCATAAGTACCTAGAATGATGTTTTTCTATCAGGAGGGACTTTTAGGAGGGTTTACCCGAGAGGTTATACCAGGAAGGCATACAAGAAGGGCCTCCCAGGAGAGACGCTTGCCAAAGGAAATGAAATTTGAATTGTTTTCTAGTATCTCAGATACATTTGCACAAAATGATTATACTCTTTCTAATGTATTGAATGCATTCGATAATATGTTAAGTTAGTCTAAATTTCAATGAAAGCAATGCTACGTAATTTTCCGAATTCCCCAGGGCGACCCAGAACAGTTGCTAGGCGGCTTTAGCTTTC